TTGTAGTGCAAGATAATCCTGTTAAAAATACTTTGTGATGGAAACACAACAGCTAATATTGTCATGTATCATACGTCATGCATTATATTGTATCGTTGGCTTCTCGCTATTTTTATTATCAAAGTTATGTTTCTCAAGGTTCTTTTCGAGGTCCACTTCTATTGAATCTAGTTCTAGCTTGAAAAGAAATTACTGCAACATGGCCCAAGAAGTATTGTGGTTGATGCAGACTTTTTAGACAGCCATCGTCGAAATATTTCTAAAAACCAAAAACTATGAAGCCAAGATATGTGAGACATATTTATGTAATTATTTATATGACGCTCATCTGCATACTTAATCCTCACCACTACCACAGTGTACACTGTCTTGTCAGCCACCCTGTATCACTCTGTCACTTTCATTAGTTACAGTATATCACATATACATATAGCTTTAATTGGTCATCCCTCTTGGCCGTGTCTGCCATCACATCAACTGGTCCAAGGAAGTGCTATTTTTTTCTCCATCTTTCCATTGTTGAATCTTCGCCTGTGCATTGTTGTAAAAAAACTGTATATATGCTCACATGTATATTGTCAAACAGTCCGGTATTCCGACTGCCTGTGTAGGGACGTCCGTGAGAAGGATAATGTCGCTCACCTCATTTATGTCTTGTAAACTAAAGAAGTTTGAACTCAACCTATCCTTCGCCTTCGTTTTAATTATGAGCTAGTTCCCCAGTCGACCATATCAACGCGATGACAACTGTCTGTTTTACTGTATGCATATGATTTGTGTATATTGATAGTGTTATTAATTCCAAAACAAAGGAACACACGTTTTCGGAACTTTGTCTAAAGTGGGGTTTGAAGCAAAATGTTATTGAAACTAAAATACTTCTTGTAATGTCATAATACTTGATTATCTCCCTTTTCACATGACTGATAAAGGGTGCAGCATTTCTGCTGTGTCTAAAGATAACTTGCTTCAAAACAACTATTATGACACTAATTGGAGTATTATTTTTTTCCTATAATTCCAAGTAAAACATTCTGTTTTGTGAAATGCAACGGAATATTCAAGTCAGTTAAGAGCCATGACTGGAGGTTTTTCCAGAACTTCACAGTCCCAAAAGAGATGGGTAATTGATTCACTGTTACATTTACAAAAACTACAAATGGGAGAGTCTGTATACTTGATTTAAATCTGTATTGTAACCATCTTAGATCAGTACTATAAGTGCACGTCCATGGGATAATATTAAATATTTCCCAGTCCTTTTGTGGGACATTTAGATTCAAGCTATCCCAGTTTTTATTATAGTGTTCTATTTTAGATTTAGAGCATAGGAGTGTTTCATAGAAGTATTTGCTACCTTTTTCACTGAAGTTTAGTTTAGACAAATTAAATGGGTATGTCGGTTTAGTGCTCAGAGTTGTAAAATGTGGGATATTTATCTTTAACATGTATGTAATAATTGCTTGTTTGACCCCTTCAAGGGTCCGGAAATTAATTCTGAGTTTATATAGATCTATAAAGTCATCAAAGGATAGAAATTTCCCTTCTGCTGTCAACATGTCGATTTCTTGTCAAAGTTAAAGGTATATTCAAATTGAGATTTTTACATGTAATTAAGGTGTCATGAATAGAAGCATTTGTCTCATGTCAACCAGAGAGACCAAAAAGATATTTAAGATTATAAAGCACTGAAAATTACAAATAATGCAAGATATAGGTAGTTTGGTAGTAGAGCTTTGTCCCCTTTGTCAAAGTATTATAGAAGTATTAACATAGTTTGGAACTAGGATATCATAACAAAAAGAATCCCAATTATTTTCCAACAGAAGTGTATTTCTCTCAGAAAAAAAATACAAACATCGAAACTGTGCTAAAACATTGTATATGCCTTATCTTTACGTTTTTCATTATGATAAATCACATGAAACATTTCTGATTTGTTATTGCACTAACACTTACAATATACCCATGTATCTGAACGTGGGCTCGTGACCTTTATTCTGTACTCCAATTAATATAAACAAATGTAACTGACAATGTATCTTTGCAACTGACGGGAGACATATTTCCACCGACGCTCCATACGTCTAGTTTGCCATGACAATTGGATTGAGACATTTCTTCTATCATCGAACCGTCAGTACAACGGCAGAAAGCCCATGCCATTGTTTATTGCTTGCAGTACGAAACAGTTTCTCAAATTCATTAATGGTCTTTAGCTTTAAACTACAGTGGGAACCTGATAAGTAAAATTTCAAGGGACTCGCCAAAATTGTTTACTTTTCAGGTATTTTACTTATCCAAACTTATAAAAAACCTGCAAATGACAACCATATGCATGTATATGTATGCATATGTAACTGTGAACAATTTATCAGGGCTGGCCTCCAGTTGTCAGTGTATTGTCAACTGCTTGACGCCAGCGAGCTGTAAGTAGGATGTTTGTTTGACTGGAGACTGACACGACTGCCCCTCATGTCGGATTATGTGGTGATTGCTAATTAGTTGTCCAGTCTCTTTTGTTAAGTAATTTACTTCCAGGGACCGTGAGAAGACGTTTATTATATTAGTTAAGCGGTATTGTTTACTTATCCGAGTTTAGTTAACCGGACTCTAATAGTGATAATTAATGAAGAAAGTTGCCGGGACCAAAGAAAAGTGTTTACTTATCAGGTCTGTTTAGTTAAGCGGTCTTTACTTAGGCGGTTTCCACTATATCATTTCACTTACGTACTATTATGCGTATTCGCTGGCAACTGTAAACGTTATGATGCTTAAATAAACTTTTGTATATCAGACATTATTTTCTATTGTCAGTTTGTTTTACCCCGTGATGAGGAGGAAAGTCACCAAGCGTCCTTTGAGAAGGAGTGAACTGGTTGAGTTTAACGCCTTTTTGAACAGGATTTCAGTTATGTCACTGTGAATCAGTGTATTGTGGGAGGAAAACCCGAAGCAGGTCTCAGGTGTTTAACCAGCACGAGTAGGGTGATTACAGACTTAGACACATCATCATGTCGAACCGGGAATCGAACCAACGTCCACATGTATCTGACATACTCACACACAGACACACTCACACACAGACACACTCACTCACAGACATCACCACACACAGGCGCACGCACAGACATACTCACACACAGATACACAGACATCCCCACACACAGGCGCACACACTCACACACTGATACACAGACACACTGACATCCCCCCACACAGAGATCCACACACAGGCGCACGCACGCACACACAGAGACATACTCACACACAGACACACTGACATACTGATACACAGACACACTGACATTCCCACACACAGACACACTCACATACTGTTACACAGGCACACTCACACATAGACACTCACACACAAACACACTCACATACTGATACACAGGCACACTCACAAACAGACACACTGACATCCCCACACACAGGCACACACACAGACACTGACATACTGATACACAGACATCCCCCCACACAGAGACATACTGATACACAGACATCACACAGACAGACAGACAGACAGACAGACAGACAGACACACTGACATCCCCACACACTGACACAGTCACGCGCGCGCTCACAGTAGGCATTGTTACACCACTTCCCTCCTTTATGTGTGCATCTGAAATGTCACTGAACTGATCACGCTGACGACCCGGGCTCGATTCCCCACATGGGCACAATGTGTGAAGCCCACTTTTGGTGTCTCCCGCCGTGATATTGCTTGTACATATCTGAGTGAGTGAGTGAGTTTGGTTTTTCGCCGCTTTTTGCAATATACCAGCAAAATCAAGGCGGGGGACACCAGAAAAAGGCTTCACACATTGTGCCCATGCGGGGAATCGAACCCGGGTCTTCGGCGTGACGAGCGAACGCTTTAACCACTAGGCTTCTTCATTGTAACCCCAGGTGCAGCCGAGACAGATGCCTATTTCAGTTGATGTTATGTTCTATGTGAGCATTCTGTTACATTCATACAACAAAACACACCAACCGGCGCCATATATTCAACACATAAAGGTCAGTCATGATCCTCTAAGTAAGGCTATATGGAAGGGAGGAGTTACCTCTCCGAATCTAGGTATCTGATTGGTTTTGCAGTTTGAAATTATATACATGGCTGACCGACACATACATTTACAGCAAATATACGTGTATAATGGTAACATTTAGTTGTTGAATGACACGACTTCTTTTTAATTATTCAATGGCAGTCACCATTGCTATTTCTAACACAAGACAACTAAGATACGACAACATACCCCCAAAAAATTCTATGTTTCCCATGTAAACATCTCTTGGAGAAATACAATTTTATGTGCCGAAATACTTTAAAATGACCACTGTTGACATATGCTGTTTGTGCTAAAAAATCATCTTGGTCAGATGATATTTACATACGGGTAAAGGGTAAGAGGTAATTCGACCAGCAAATATTTTCGTTAAAACACGGACCAAAACCAGTTCATCGTGCCCTGCATTCGTCACCATTCGTAGAATTCCGTAATCGGTTTGTCTCGGACTTGCACGAATCAGCCACGAAAACTCGGGTGATGCGAGTCCAGGTGGAGTTACCTCCCTTACAACTACTCTTGACTCGGCGAATCAATGCTCGTCCAATGCAGACGACATTTGGGTGTTCTGGGAGCAGCTGTGGCCACTGGGTATGGTGTCACTAGCCCTGGGTATGGTGTGACGAGCGACAAATCCCGACCTATCGCTCACCTCAGATCAGGGTAGTTCCCATGTTAAATTTTAGAGAATATACATTTATTCTTTTATTCCAAAGTCCACACATAATGGCCTGGTATGCCCAGATTGAGACATGTAGACACCAGGTCGTGTGTATGCGGTGCAATATCTAGTGTATAACATCTGAAGTGTGAAAGGATATTTATCAATCAATACGGATATTAATGTAAATTTTTTCAACATTTTGCTAATTTTCATTAATGCAGATATACCATAAATAGTTATCATAATGAATGTGTATTCACAATGTTAATAAGGACAGAAGTTATCATGCGTCATCTTTACTGTTATTACGTCACTGATGTCATATATCTCTATCGTGGGGTGGTATAATATCATACAGGACGCACAGCCATGAGGCCACTCTTACTTGAACCCGCTCGGTCGTGACACAATTTCCTAGTTTCGGTTTGAAGTCAGTCGATCAAGGCTGCAGTCGTGTCGTGTATATCTAAGGTGAGTACTGAAGAAATGGCAAGCTGACAGTAAATGTAAGCTTCTGTAGGCGACTGTAAGGTCTGTGAAAGTCTCCCGTGCACTGTAAACCTGCCATGGTAGACACACAGGGTAGTGACTCATGGAGCACAATTACTTTTTGAACCAGGAAGTGGGGGGCTGTTCGTCAGCAACATGGCTGTGCTCCGTGATGGCGATCTGACAGCTCACTGTACGATATGATGTTGTTCACGGTTATGTTATCGTAGAGTGGTATTACTCTACAATGTATTTCACAATCCGGTGAACGAATAGATCGTGTTATGATAAGAAGTGGTTTAATGTTTACCTGCAGTTATTAATTTATCACATATTTATCATGTACATTTCTCCGGTATCACTAGCAGTGCATGGATTGTTGGTGATGAAGCAATGTATAACATACATTGATACTTAGAAATGACGTGCACATCACCGATCGATCTATTTTCGCTTTCGTTTTATGCAGATGATTATAAACAGAGTTATCTCCCCTAAATATTCACTGACGCTGTGGAGAGTTCTACAGCGACTGTAGTTGTATTCGGCTGCATTGTTATACTACTCACACTTTGATAAGGATCACAAAAAATTTACAACTTTACTTAAACGTAGATTTATGATATGAAATTGTATCCGTTTAAAACTGGATAAGTAATAATATGGTAACCCTCTTTAGGCCAACAGCCACTTTATTTGAACCTTTTTCACTTGATACACGAGTAACATAAATATGGTTTTCATGGCACAAATCAACCATTTTGCAAATTATGGAACTAGCACAAACAACACCTGTCAATAGCAGGTATGGGATCCACAAGATGCAATGACATACTGAAACCTAGGAACCATGCTTACAATAAGCTTAGATATTTAAACCAAATTTGACCCCACATCATAGTTTTCTGTTGAATCCATGATTTGATCTTTAGCAAAGTGTGAATAGTATATGCTCTTATCAGGTAAAGTATGTAGCTCGTCGTTGTCCAGAATTTGGTTTACATTATTCGGCCATATTTGTGAAAAATGTAATAATATGTGATACGAGTTTAGTTGGGCCAAACGTTTATGTTTCGTTTTTAGTTTAAAATGTGACCTTTACGTGACCTTTGCATTTCAAGCTGATTTTATTTATAATCACTATTCAAACATTTGGTTTTAAATTGTAATGAAACATAGTGTATGTCTAGTTAGTATCGGGATCAAACGATCTGTACCTTATTGTAATGAAACATAGTGTATATCTAGTTAGTATCAGGATCAAACGATCTGTACCTTATTGTAATGAAACATAGTGTATGTCCTGATAGTATCGGGATCAAACGATCTGTACCTTATTGTAATGGAACATAGTGTATGTCTAGTTAGTATCGGGATCAAACGATCTGTACCTTATTGTAATGAAACATAGTGTATGTCTAGTTAGTATCGGGATCAAACGATCGGTACCTTATTGTAATGAAACATAGTGTTTGTCTAGTTAGTATCGAGATCAAACGATCGGTACCTTATTGTAATGAAACATAGTGTATGTCTAGTTAGTATCGGGATCAAACGATCTGTACCTTATTGTAATGAAACATAGTGTATGTCTAGTTAGTATCGGGATCAAACGATCTGTACCTTATTGTAATGAAACATAGTGTATGTCCTGATAGTATCGGGATCATACGATCTGTACCTTATTGTAATGAAACATAGTGTATGTCTAGTTAGTATCGGGATCAAACGATCTGTACCTTATTGTAATGAAACATAGTGTATGTCTAGTTAGTATCGGGATCAAACGATCGGTACCTTATTGTAATGAAACATAGTGTTTGTCTAGTTAGTATCGAGATCAAACGATCGGTACCTTATTGTAATGAAACATAGTGTATGTCTAGTTAGTATCGGGATCAAACGATCTGTACCTTATTGTAATGAAACATAGTGTATGTCTAGTTAGTATCGGGATCAAACGATCTGTACCTTATTGTAATGAAACATAGTGTATGTCTAGTTAGTATCGGGATCAAACGATCGGTACCTTATTGTAATGAAACATAGTGTATGTCTAGATAGTATCGGGATCAAACGATCTGTACCTTATTGTAATGAAACATAGTGTATGTCTAGTTAGTATCGGGATCAAACGATCTGTACCTTATTGTAATGAAACATAGTGTATGTCTAGTTAGTATCGGGATCAAACGATCTGTACCTTATTGTAATGAAACATAGTGTATATCTAGTTAGTGTCGGGATCAAACGATCTGTACCTTATTGTAATGAAACATAGTGTATATCTAGTTAGTATCGGGATCAAACGATCTGTACCTTATTGTAATGAAACATAGTGTATGTCTAGTTAGTATCGGGATCATACGATCTGTACCTTATTGTAATGGAACATAGTGTATGTCTAGTTAGTATCGGGATCAAACGATCTGTACCTTATTGTAATGAAACATAGTGTATGTCTAGTTAGTATCGGGATCAAACGATCTGTACCTTATTGTAATGAAACATAGTGTATAACTAGTTAGTATCGGGATCAAACGATCTGTACCTTATTGTAATGAAACATAGTGTATATCTAGTTAGTATCGGGATCAAACGATCTGTACCTTATTGTAATGAAACATAGTGTATGTCTAGTTAGTATCGGGATCAAACGATCTGTACCTTATTGTAATGAAACATAGTGTATATTTAGTTAGTGTCGGGATCATACGATCTGTACCTTATTGTAATGGAACATAGTGTATGTCTAGTTAGTATCGGGATCAAACGATCTGTACCTTATTGTAATGAAACATAGTGTATGTCTAGTTAGTATCGGGATCATACGATCTGTACCTTATTGTAATGGAACATAGTGTATGTCTAGTTAGTATCGGGATCAAACGATCTGTACCTTATTGTAATGAAACATAGTGTATGTCTAGTTAGTATCGGGATCAAACGATCTGTACCTTATTGTAATGAAACATAGTGTGTATGTCTAGTTAGTATCGGGATCAAACGATCTGTACCTTATTGTAATGAAACATAGTGTATATCTAGTTAGTATCGGGATCAAACGATCTGTACCTTATTGTAATGAAACATAGTGTATATCTAGTTAGTATCGGGATCAAACGATCTGTACCTTATTGTAATGAAACATAGTGTATATCTAGTTAGTATCGGGATCAAACGATCTGTACCTTATTGTAATGAAACATAGTGTATATCTAGTTAGTATCGGGATCAAACGATCTGTACCTTATTTCGATGCATTTTCAATTTGAACATTGGACCAAGAGTATTAGTTATCCCTAAATGCTTTTCCTCTCACCGTGAACATAATGTCATCAGAACACACTGGACTTTTGAAGCTGTAACATGATATAATTATTATTTTCTCCCAATGATGAATTCTGAATTTGTTCAAGTGCAGCTTTTATTCTGTAAATATCTTCTCCTTTACAAAGCCAGAGTGATGAAGCTAAACTTGGGATGTTGTCCGTAATATGATGTCGTTTGTGCAAAGAATTAGGGCTTTGCTGAGCATTTGTGAAACAATAAATAAATTGGGGTAGCCAAGTGGTTTACCTGTTCCCTCGTCACACGGAAGACCCAGGTTCGATTCCCAACATGGGTACAACGTTTGACGCCCATTTCTGATGTCCCCCGTCAAGATATTACTGGAATATTTCTGAAAGCAGCGTAAAACTAAACTCACTCACTCCATATTAACGCATTTACTTTTGCACATAGGAAAGGTAAATAAGAATAGGAAGATAATTGTTTGATATTCGTCTTTACCTTTGTTATTCCAAAAATATATATGAGTATTCATTTTTTAAACTGGCACTTTGAAAACATGTCAGAATGTGTCCCCCAAACTGTGAACTTGTACCCAATATCCTTCACCTTTTGTGAATGCAATATGTGTAGATCAACGTTTCGTACGGAATTTAATATCAAAGAAATGACTATTATCTGCAGTTATTCCAAAGCCTGCGAGTTGAAAGGCCCTGATAATAAAACTGTTAAGACTGTACAACATATTGAACGAATTACTTCTTTGAGACTAAACGTGCGCTACCACATAGAAATCGCCAATCTCAAAACCATTTGGGATGATATGTTGCAGGCTGAAGAAGAAGACGGAATGGCAGAAGCCCGTCCACCGCCCATTGAGAAAACATTTAAGATGGCCAACAAGATTGAGGTGGTCACTTACGTCGGGGACATCACGATGTTGTCTAGCGAGACTGGCGTGACTGGCGTTGTGACAGGGGAGGGGCAAGAGTTTCAACACGAGAGTTATGTTACAAAGGCTCTGAAAGAATATTCGAATGAATTTGCTGAAAAAAGAGAAGAACTGAAGATGAGGGCAAGATATTTTAAATCTTGGTCAGTTCACACAACGAAACTATCCGCATCATCGCCATTCAGTTATGTCTTTCATGCTGTCATCAAAAATCCGGACCATACCAACAGATGGGTGAAGAAGACAGGAAAATTATACAAGAAAATAATGAAGAAAGCAGAGAAGTATGACGTGAAGGTGTTGGCCATTCCCCTTCTTGGTACAGGTGAGATGTGTGTACTCATCTATTATGTCATAAATCATAAATGAATGATTTAAGTACACAGAGATGTCGATGTGCATGCCTTGATTGTCTTTTTCTGTCGTGTGCAGAAGCATAAACCTATATCAGCCTTCGATTAAGTCGGAACTTCCGTATATAGCTCTGACGATAACATGTATGTGAGGATAAACGTGTGTATATACCTCAGAAACACCAGGTGTCTCTTCAGTATAGCTCTGACGATAACATGTATGTGAGGATAAACGTGTGTATATACCTCAGAATCACCAGGTGTCTCTTCAGTATAGCTCTGACGATAACATGTAGGTGAGGATAAACATGTGTATATACCCCAGAAACACCAGGTGTCTCTTCAGTATAGCTCTGACGATAACATGTAGGTGAGGATAAACATGTGTATATACCTCAGAAACACCAGGTGTCTCTTCAGTATAGCTCTGACGATAACATGTATGTGAGGATAAACGTGTGTATATACCTCAGAAACACCAGGTGTCTCTTCAGTATAGCTCTGACGATAACATGTAGGTGAGGATAAACATGTGTATATACCCCAGAAACACCAGGTGTCTCTTCAGTATAGCTCTGACGATAACATGTAGGTGAGGATAAACATGTGTATATACCCCAGAAACACCAGGTGTCTCTTCAATATAGCTCTTACGATAACATGTAGGTGAGGATAAACGTGTGTATATACCTCAGAAACACCAGGTGTCTCTTCAGTATAGCTCTGACGATAACATGTATGTTAGGATGAACATGTGTATATACCTCAGAAACACCAGGTGTCTCTTCAGTATAGCTCTGACGATAACATGTATGTGAGGATAAACGTGTGTATATACCTCAGAAACACCAGGTGTCTCTTCAGTATAGCTCTGACGATAACATGTATGTGAGGATAAACGTGTGTATATACCTCAGAAACACCAGGTGTCTCTTCAGTATAGCTCTGACGATAACATGTAGGTGAGGATAAACATGTGTATATACCCCAGAAACACCAGGTGTCTCTTCAGTATAGCTCTGACGATAACATGTAGGTGAGGATAAACATGTGTATATACCTCAGAAACACCAGGTGTCTCTTCAGTATAGCTCTGACGATAACATGTATGTGAGGATAAACATGTGTATATACCCCAGAAACACCAGGTGTCCTTCAGTATAGCTCTGACGATAACATGTATGTGAGGATAAACATGTGTATATACCTCAGAAACACCAGGTGTCTCTTCAGTATAGCTCTGACGATAACATGTAGGAGAGGATAAACATGTGTATATACCTCAGAAACACCAGGTGTCTCTTCAGTATAGCTCTGACGATAACATGTATGTGAGGATAAACATGTGTATATACCTCAGAAACACCAGGTGTCTCTTCAGTATAGCTCTGACGATAACATGTATGTGAGGATAAACATGTGTATATACCCCAGAAACACCAGGTGTCTCTTCAGTATAGCTCTGACGATAACATGTAGGTGAGGATAAACATGTGTATATACCCCAGAAACACCAGGTGTCTCTTCCATATAGCTCTGACGATAACATGTAGGTGAGGATAAACATGTGTATATACCTGAGACACACCAGGTGTCTCTTCAGTATAGCTCTGACGATAACATGTAGGTGAGGATAAACATGTGTATATACCTCAGAAACACCAGGTGTCTCTGCAGTATAGCTCTGACGATAACATGTATGTGAGGATAAACGTGTGTATATACCCCAGAAACACCAGGTGTCTCTTCAGTATAGCTCTGACGATAACATGTAGGTGAAGATAAACATGTGTATATACCCCAGAAACACCAGGTGTCTCTTCCATATAGCTCTGACGATAACATGTAGTTGAGGATAAACGTGTGTATATACCTCAGAATCACCAGGTGTCTCTTCAGTATAGCTCTGACGATAACATGTATGTGAGGATAAACGTGTGTATATACCTCAGAATCACCAGGTGTCTCTTCAGTATAGCTCTTACGATAACATGTAGGTGAGGATAAACATGTGTATATACCCCAGAAACACCAGGTGTCTCTTCCATATAGCTCTGACGATAACATGTAGGTGAGGATAAACATGTGTATATACCTGAGACACACCAGGTGTCTCTTCAGTATAGCTCTGACGATAACATGTATGTGAGGATAAACGTGTGTATATACCCCAGAAACACCAGGTGTCTCTTCAGTATAGCTCTGACGATAACATGTAGGTGAGGATAAACGTGTGTATATACCTCAGAAACACCAGGTGTCTCTTCAGTATAGCTCTGACGATAACATGTATGTGAGGATAAACATGTGTATATACCCCAGAATCACCAGGTGTCTCTTCAGTATAGCTCTGACGATAACATGTATGTGAGGATAAACATGTGTATATACCCCAGAAACAGCAGGTGTCTCTTCAATATAGCTCTGACGATAACATGTAGGTGAGGATAAACATGTGTATATACCTCAGAAACACCAGGTGTCTCTTCAGTATAGCTCTGACGATAACATGTAGGTGAGGATAAACATGTGTATATACCCCAGAAACACCAGGTGTCTCTTCAGTATAGCTCTGACGATAACATGTATGTGAGGATAAACATGTGTATATACCTCAGAAACACCAGGTGTCTCTTCAGTATAGCTCTGACGATAACATGTAGGTGAGGATAAACATGTGTATATACCTCAGAAACACCAGGTGTCTCTGCAGTATAGCTCTTACGATAACATGTAAGTGAGGATAAACATGTGTATATACCTCAGAAACACCAGGTGTCTCTTCAGTATAGCTCTGACGATAACATGTATGTGAGGATAAACGTGTGTATATACCTCAGAATCACCAGGTGTCTCTTCAGTATAGCTCTTACGATAACATGTAGGTGAGGATAAACATGTGTATATACCCCAGAAACACCAGGTGTCTCTTCAGTATAGCTCTGACGATAACATGTAGGTGAGGATAAACGTGTGTATATACCTCAGAAACACCAGGTGTCTCTTCAGTATAGCTCTGACGATAACATGTATGTGAGGATAAACGTGTGTATATACCTCAGAATCACCAGGTGTCTCTTCAGTATAGCTCTGACGATAACATGTAGGTGAAGATAAACATGTGTATATACCTCAGAAACACCAGGTGTCTCTTCCATATAGCTCTGACGATAACATGTAGGTGAGGATAAACGTGTGTATATACCCCAGAAACACCAGGTGTCTCTTCAGTATAGCTCTGACGATAACATGTATGTGAGGATAAACGTGTGTATATACCTCAGAAACGCCAGGTGTCTCTTCAGTATAGCTCTGACGATAACATGTATGTGAGGAAAAACGTGTATATACCTCAGAATCACCAGGTGTCTCTTCATTATAGCTCTGACGATAACATGTAGGTGAGGATAAACATGTGTATATACCCCAGAAACACCAGGTGTCTCTTCCATATAGCTCTGCTGATAACATGTAGGTGAGGATAAACATGTGTATATACCCCAGAAACACCAGGTGTCTCTTCAGTATAGCTCTGACGATAACATGTATGTGAGGATAAACGTGTGTATATACCCCAGAAACACCAGGTGTCTCTTCCATATAGCTCTGACGATAACATGTATGTGAGGATAAACGTGTGTATATACCTCAGAATCACCAGTTGTCTCTTCAGTATAGCTCTGACGATAACATGTATGTGAGGATAAACGTGTGTATATACCCCAGAAACACCAGGTGTCTCTTCAGTATAGCTCTGACGATAACATGTATGTGAGGATGAACATGTGTATATACCTCAGAAACACCAGGTGTCTCGGCAGCTGAAAGCTATATAAGAACATTACAACAATAGTGTTATTATATTACTCACAGAACGACGTGATGCCCCACATAACATTTATACAACGCTAGTGTCATAACACTACAATACTCTACAGTATCATATATATTCTAAGTCACCCGAAAGCTGCTCTGCAGAATAAATACCCTTACCGATTGCAGGATCCGCTGGACTTGCCAATTAGCATATTCCTCCAGATAATGATCCTACATTACCCGACCATAACCAGTCATTTGTTATGCCATGAGGTAATTTTCGTGAGGTTCACTGGTGACAGTCATATTTACACTCGGTAACTATTACATATCTGAGTACTTGTGTGGTTTGAAGTTTGCCGTTCACGCTGTGTGTTTCTTTGGCTGTCAGGTCGAGGTGGTGCAAAGAAGGAAGACGCTGCCCAGGCCGCAGTTGGAGCCGTGGCTAAGTTTGAGAATCCGTATCTGGAGAAGGTGTTCTTGGTAACAAAGGACACATCCGTCGCCGAAGTAATCGATTCCCAGTGTGAATATGAAAGAAGCCCGCTGAGTCGTGAGAAAACTTTAAAGCGTCGAAAATCATTTATGAAGAGGTTGGGCTGTGCAGGTTCCAGAACGGACGACGGTGACAGTGGTAGCTATAGAAAGGCACCTGTGGACAACCGTTCACGTAGACACCAGAATGCAGACCAGTACCAAAGTGTTTACAAAGAGAAGTACACACCCATTTCTGATAGTAGGCGAGATGAAACCAATATACAAAGGAATCAATATACACGATCGATGGACACGAGCGAGAACCGCCACAGACACTGGCCAGATAACGAGGATGACAACAGCTATAGAAATGCACCAACGAACGAACGTTCAGGATCTGGCCGTAACCACAGACGTCCGGCCGAGAGGTACACACACAATGCTAATGGACATGGCGATGGGGAGAGGGCTGAAGCAACGGCAGCGGTACAAAAAGAAGATAACTCAGTTGATACTCGAGAAGCAGTGCAAAGACCTGTTGCTGGACCCTCTGATGACGATGGAAGACGAGAAGGGAGCCTGCAGGCAAAGGTGGCAGGGGAGATGTACAGAGATCATGAAAGATCTGAGGGGCGCAAAGAGGTAAGGGGAGGCAACTCTGATTACAAGAACATGAAAGACAAGACCACGTATTCTTCACCAGGTCGACAAAACAATGGCGATACAGTGGGAGAGTCCAGACACAGGACGTCGGACGTCGCTGAAGTACATTCCAGTTACATGCCATCCCAAACTGTGCCAAGTGAATCCAGGTCGGATCCTGTAACATCTCTCGCCATGGTACAGCGGAACAACTCCACAACCCACCGCAACACCACACATGACAGCCATCAGTTTAGTTCTGAGGGAAATCGAAAGGATAGACAGGGCGATGATGGTAGGCGGCAACAACCGAGGCAGCAAACCAAGACCACCACGGTGACAGGTGTGGCCGGGCAGACACGTTCTGATGAAAGAGAAAGTCATAGTAGAAGGGTCAACCATGGCTCAGCCTATCCAGTGATCAATCTTGACGCTGTCGGTGGACGGCCAGGGGAAGTAAACTATGCTTCAAGGACTTGCAGGGAAAGAGGCATGGACAACTCTACTAGGCAAGAAATGGCGATAAAGACTGAAATCAATGGGACTTGCAATGGGGATAATGATGGTACAATCACGCAGCTTGTTAATGGATCGCCTGGAAATAACAAAAACGAAAGTAATCATGATGTAAAGTTTCTTGATATGAGTGTGACCAGAAACTGTCCTATTTGTATTTGTCCAATCTCAGATCCAAAATGGTTGGATAAATGCGGCCATGTGTTCTGTAGGGAGTGCATAGATAACAGTTTCAAGAAGTTCAAAACTGTGTGCCCCAGCTGTAACATGGTGTATGGCGTCCTGACGGGGAACCAGCCGGAGGGGACCATGGATGTGGCCTTTAGTGGGGAGCACCTGCCTGGCTATGAGACCTGCGGAACCATCAGCATCACATACGATCTGCCTAGCGGCATACAAGGAGTAAGTATCATTGCATTTCCACGCCGTCTGACCCGTGAAGGTCCGTGTTAGAATAGGTCTTCAGTACCCATGCTTGTCTCTACCCGTGAAGGTCCGGGTTAGAATAGGTCTTCAGTAACCCATGCTTGTCTCTACCTGTGAAGGTCCGGGTTAGAATGGACTTCAGTAACCCATGCTTGTCTCTACCCGTGAAGGTCCGGGTTAGAATAGGTCTTCAGTAACCCATGCTTGTCTCTACCCGTGAAGGTCCGGGTTAGAATAGGTCTTCAGTAACCCATGCTTGTCTCTACCCGTGAAGGTCCGGGTTAGAATAGGTCTTCAGTAACCCATGCTTGTCTCTACCCGTGAAGGTCCGGGTTAGACTTGGTCTTCAGTAACCAATGCTTGTCTCTACCCGTGAAGGTCCGGGTTAGACTTGGTCTTCAGTAACCCATGCTTGTCTCTACCCGTGAAGGTCCGGGTTAGAATAGGTCTTCAGTAACCCATGCTTGTCTCTACCCGTGAAGGTCCGGGTTAGAATAGGTCTTCAGTAACCCATACTTGTCTCTACCTGTGAAGGTCCGGGTTAGAATAGGTCTTCAGTAACCCATGCTTGTCTCTACCTGTGAAGGTCCGGGTTAGAATAGGTCTTCAGTAACCCATGCTTGTCGTAAGATGCGACTTACGGGATCGGGTGGTCAGGCTCACTGACTTGGTTGACGTAATCATGTTCCAATTGTGTGGAATGATGCTCATGCTCTTGACCACTGGCTCGTTTGGTCCAGACTCGATTATTTACAGACCGCCGTCATATACCTGGGATACTGCTGAGTGCGGCGTAAAACTAAACTCACTAGAAACTAGAATTAGTGTGAAATGTGTTCTTTTAAACGCATATTAATACAGTGAATTTGGATATTGGCGTTACATGTTGATTCCCAAGTTGATATGTCAGCCGGAGATCAGTCAGTAAACGGACGAGATGTGAAACCATCAAACAGCAAAGCTATGTGATGAAATAGACAATTGTGTCCTACTATATACTAGTAGTGGGTTCACAAATCAATTCAAATGAATCACGACAGCAGTACAATAGTAGTGCCAGTACAAATCAAAAGATAATATTACACGTGACCAGTGATTAAGCAATATAAATAGAGATGGTAATATCCATCCGACTTATCCATCTTCGAAGAACGGCTTAAGCAGAGTTCCACGGGTATAGAGTGATCACACAGAATGCTGTCTTTCTTGTGGTTAGATATGTGATGTGAGATGAGAGGCAAGAGTTAACTCCCTATCTAAGGAAAAGGATTCTGGAATAAGCCCCTTGTAGCTCTTTCAGATCTTTCTGACTAAATCCAGTTCAAGTCTACATATGGTACACCACTGCCCCGTAGTAACTACAAACCTTACAATGTACAACACTTGGACTGACTGAGTTTGGTTTTGCGCCGCTTTCAGCAATATTCCAGCAACATCACGGCGGGGGACACCAGAAATGGGCTTCACACATTGTGCCCATGTGGGGATTCGAACCCAGGTCTTCGTGACGAGCCAGCGCTTTAACCATTAGGCCACCCCACCGCCCCACAACACGTGGAACATTGTTACACGATATATACTAGTATATGACTGCCTTATAACATTCGTAATTATTGTTATTATCTTAATTGTATGAAGAAGCATGTTGAGGTTTTCCTTCATTAGCTTAAAACTTTTATGAGCATATCGCTAATTTTCAATAATCCATTCACATTAACTTCACCTATATCTTGCCTTTTGCTCCGAAGAGAATCTGTTTCGGCAGATAATGTTGATTTATAAATCGTTACAGCCCGATGCTTTGGTGTAATGTTTTCAAAACTTATGCCAGATCCATGTGGAAACTTGCAGGCAGATCATCCGAATCCAGGACAGCCCTACAAGGGAACAAAGAGACGAGCGTTCCTGCCAGACTGCCGAGAAGGAAGAGACGTTCTCCGTCTCCTGAGGAAGGCTTTTGACAGGAAGTTAACATTTACCGTCGGTCGGTCTTCTACTACCGGTCAGGAAAATGTCGTAACATGGAACGACATCCACCATAAGACGAAAATGGATGGTGGACCTACCAGGTAAACATATTGTGTCTGTTCGTACTTTAAAATGATAATTTTACTATTTATTAAAAAGTCGATACAATATATTTTTTTCCAAAGCAATTATACCCATGGGACATATAAACATGTGAGTGAGTGAGTGAGTGAGTTAACGTTCCATTTTCCCGGCCATATAGCGAACTTTATGTTGCGATTTGAAGCCAGCGTAAGTTTCATATGTAAATACAACTTCAACGAGTGGTATTTTCAAGTTCATCTTACGACTTGGTAAATGATACACTCGCAACACATCGCATAAGCACAAACTGAACCTCTATGAAGTGAGAAATAACATATCCTGTGTACATTCACATAACAACAGTCGATGCTTGTCGAACTGCTTGTTTCTATGTCGTATTGAAGTGACACTCTGTATTTAGATTCGGCTACCCCGACCCGGACTATCTGGGGCGGGTCAAGTGTGAGCTGGCTAGCAAGGGAGTGACGGACAGCAAAGAGACGACGTTTTAGCGGATTTTGTTGTCTCTGAATGGCAGACCGTCAGATGTCCACAGGAACACAGGCCATCACAGGCTACAGCCAAACGCATTGGGACTCAGGAACACAGGCCATCACAGACTACAGCCAAACGCATTGGGAGTCAGGAACACAGGCCATCACAGACTACAGCCAAACGCATTGGGACTCTTGTTTTACTTTCCAAGTAATCCACGCATGAGTCAGATTTAAAACCCTGAAACTTACAGAATGATGGCGATCAGCAGTACTTGAGAAGGTGACACAGACTGACTCATTGGACATAAATAATCCAGATTTCAAAGTAACTAATGGTTCAGTTACAAATTGTTTATTTATCAGCTAGGATTCGTGGTTGCAATGTACCCTGTGCTTGTAGTATGAGGCAAACAATATCGTTGGTCACGCTTGGCTGTTTAATGATTATGTGCTATCTTACCCATTCTGCGTCGGGCTTTATTCATAACATCAACCACGTGTTTGTCTAATCCAGATCCGATACATGTTACTGCACGAGGAGCGGCCTCAACAAACAAAACAAATGATACGTCAGTTACGGAAACTTATGAATACAAACATCTTCTGCTACTAAGGAGTCTTTTGGAGGTCGCACTGCGTGCGTCATAGACGGTGTTGACTGTAGACTAAGGCAGTGCAGAGAGCACAGACGGACACGCAATGCTATTCCGTTGTTGTGAGGCGTTATATACTCCGTGCCATTATTGAAGGGTCATGTGTCTTTTGCATTGATAGGAATCAATTCCATATTATGAATATATCGGTAATGAGAAGTCAATATTGTTTAAAACCCAGTTGACATAAGGCACCATAGAACATTAGGCTACGCACATGTCTCAATGATTGAGAATTTAAATATATACAGTGTTTCAAAAACATGAACATTTTGATTATGTTTGGTTTCCGTGAACACTGTCAATATCTGTATCGCGGAAACGCGGCATTGTGTCTTGCATTGCACGAGAAAGTGCGATTTCCCATACACAGGTTTAGGTTATAAACGTCAACTGTAGTCTCACCCTGACATCATGGTTTCTGATACGAAATAAGATGTTTCCTGACGGTAGCGGAGAGGGGTCAAGCAAATGGTCTCGTGCAAGCTGGTCAACGACAAGCTGCAAATCACTTCAATGTGAGTAAAAGTGTCATTTGGAGACTGTTGCAAAGGTTTCAAGCCACGGGATCGATGGAATATGCGAGAAGACCAGGTCGACCTAGAGTTACCACTGCAAGGCAAGATAGGCACTTGGTTAACGTCGCTTTACGTAACCGATTCCTGACCGCCGGCGACCTTCGGATTGAACATTACAATGTTCATGGTGTCAGGATAAGCAGGAACTCAATACGACGCCGATTACGTGCCAATGGGCTCCTTTCAAGGCGACCAGCAGTCCGTCCACAAAATTCTGCAACGTCACAGACATGCACGTTTCGCCTGGAGTAAGACCAGGTCGACAATATTCTGCAGAAGAACTGAACGGTTCACTGATGCTACAGTTGTCACACACAATAGGTTTGGTGGCGGGTCAGTCATGGTTTGGGCCGGTATCATGGCTACAGGAAGAATCCAGCTGCACATTATTGATGGAAGTGTGACTGGTCTGTGGTATCGAGATGAAATCTTGACCCCCATTGGACGGTAATGCCAGATCTCACAGAGCCAGGATAGTCACTGATTATCTTCAGCAACAGGGTGTGGAACGGATGGACTGGCCGGCATGCTCACCAGACCTGAATCCAATCGAGCATGCATGGGATGAACTTGGCAGACGTGTTTACAGACGTCACCCTGCTCCGCAAGAATGGGAGGCTATTCCACAGGCATTCTTCGTGAACTTGATCAAAAGCATGGCGTCTCGGTGTAACTCTGCCCAGGACCAGAGAGGCGGCTACACAAAGTACTGATTGGTCCTGGACTCGGTTGTTGTGACTTTCCGGTTTTGGGGCATCCCTTTGTTTGATGTCCGTGTAGATACAGCCCTGGGGCTCCTTTCACGAAGCAACCTTTACTAAGATTAACCTTAACTCCCATTCTTTAACATTGCACTAAGGTGTAAGTCACAAAGGTAACTTTAATGCAATGTTAAAGAATGGGAGTTAAGGTCCTTCGTGAAATGAGCCCCTGATCCTTTTCTCACAGCTTAGCACTGAACACTCTTCTCAGTTAATAAACTATCTCTTCTTTCTGTTATCTTGTCACAACAAACTTTATTTTGCATTATATAAAATTATTCCAGCGTGACCCTTCAATAGTGGCACGGAGTATATATATTTATTATGCTTTATATCCTTTGCACATTCCTTTTTAATGTATCCCATCTATTGTAATTACGAATTACGAATTTTGAATATTACGTTGTGAGTTATAACTTAAGTTGCGGTTTATTGATATTAATCGTCACGCAGAATTAATCGTCACGTCACATGCAACAAAACACTTCAACCTAGTGTTACAAGATACGTCACCCTAGTGTTACAAGATACGTCACCCTAGTGTTATGCGCCATCCTAGTGTTACAAGATACGTCACCCTAGTGTTACAAGATACGTCACCCTAGTGTTATTCGTCACCGTAGTGTTACAAGATACGTCACCCTAGTGTTACAAGATACTTCACCCTAGTGTTACAAGATACTTCACCCTAATGTTACAAGATACATCACCCTAGTGTTACAAGATACGTCACCCTAGTGTTACAAGATACATCACCCTAGTGTTGCAAGATGCGTCACCGTAGTGTTACAAGATACGTCACCCTAATGTTATAAGATATTTCACCCTAGTGTTACAAGATGCGTCACCCCAGTGTTATACCTGAACCTAGTGTTACAAGATACGTCGCGTTAGTGTTACAAGATACGTCACCCTAGTGTTACAAGATACGTCACCCTAGTGTTACAAGATACGTCACCCTAGTGTTACAAGATACATCACCCAAGTGTTACAAGATACGTCACCCTAGTGTTTCAAGATCCATCACCCAAGTGTTTGCAAGATGCGTCACCCCAGTTTTTCAAGATCCGTCACCCTAATCTTATAAGATATGTCACCCTAGTGTTACAAGATGCGTCACCCCAGTGTTATACCTGAATCTAGTGTTACAAGATACGTCACCCTAGTGTTACAAGATACGTCACGTTAGTGTTACATGATGCGTCACCCTAGTGTTACAAGATACGTCACCCTAGTGTAACAAGATAGGTCACGTTAGTGTTATACACCACCCTAGTGCTACAAGATACGTCACACTAGTGTTACAACATACGTCACCCTAGTATTTGAAGATACGTCACCCTAGTGTTACAAGATGCGTCACCCTAGTGTTACAAGATGCGTCACCATAGTGTTATACGTCACCCTAGTGTTACTAGATACGTCACCCTAGTGTTACAAGATATGTCAACCTAATGTTACAAGATACGTCATCCTAGTGTTACAATATACGTCACCCTAGTGTAATTAGATACGTCACCCTAGTGTTACAAGATACGTCAATCTAGTGTTACAAGATACGTCAACCTAGTGTTACAAGATTCGTCACCCTAGTATTACAATATACGTCACCCTAGTGTTACAAGATACGTCAACCTAGTGTTACAAGATTCGTCACCCTAGTATTACAATATACGTCACCCTAGTGTTACAAGATACGTCAACCTAGTGTTACAAGTCCTGTAGATGTTATGAGATAAACGTTATGAGATAAGTAATTATAACAGTTGCATGATCCTTCCAATAAAGTAATTCATAATGTTTATTAAACAATCACAAATATTTAAATATTCTACGTGATTCATTTTCGTCACTACAATGCCTTGATTAAAAGCATTTTTTGGTCACACGGCATGATGTTGTTTATTTGCTCACACGAAACGTTGCAGAGAATAATTCGCTAAATCATGGTTTGAGTCCGTTTCTTCTCTGAGCTCTTGGAGAGGGAACATAGTCGTCCAGTGGTGTGAAGAGCTGCCGCCTTTAACTTTCATGATGTTCCTATCGTCGGTTCCAATCCCAAATTCGCCCGGGTTATTTCCCTTGACTTCCGTGAACATCATACCCTGACAGCTGACACGCCTTGGCATCTAAATTAATAACTATACGTGACCGAAATAATCTGTATATATCTATACTCTCCGAAAAAAGAAACGCATATATGAATTTCAACTGTATTTTTATGTTTATTTTGAAACATCTTGTAGGCTTTATGAGTCAATGAAATATAGCGAAAATGCACACTGGGAATGCAGACTTATCCGTCTTTGGCACCAACTCGAGGAAAGTCAGTTTGAGTGTCACATGGAGACGTGTGGTGGCGCTGAAGTCAATACCTCATGTGACCACCGTGAGCATCCAGAACTGCACGGCATCGCCTCGGCCTTCGACGAATAAGTCTAAGAATCTCGTGTTGCCCAATCGCAGCCCACTCTGCCTGCAGTGCCTGCGCGAGTTGCTGAAGTGTCTGGGGCCGAGGGTTACGGCGTCGCACCCGTCTGTCCAGGGCATCCCACAGATGTTCGATCGGGTTTAAGTCCGGTGATCTTGAGGGCCAGGGAAGCACATTGATGTTGTTGTTCTGGAGGAAGTCTCTAGTGTGACGTGCTGTGTGGGGCCTGGCATTGTCTTGTTGAAACAACTCCCTCTGGCGATCAATGATTGGAAGGAGGTGTGGGCGTAGGATTTCGTCAGAGTACCGTTGAGGTGTCAGGATGCCCTGGATCATCACCAAATCACTTCTCCTACGGCAGGTGATCGCCCCCACCTCTCATAACACTTCCCCGGCCGAATCTGTCCATCTGGGGATCGCAAGCGTCGGCGAAACGTTCACGTCAACGTCTGTACACCTGCATTCTTCCATAGCGTCGTTCCAATAGAAATCGTATTATCACTGAACCAGATTCTACGCCAATTCGGTAGGTTCCAGGCCTGAACGTTGGTGCACCATTGAACTCGATGTCGACGATGTTGTTGTCGAAGCACAGGGCCAAAATAAGGTCTTCTGGCACGTAAACCAGCCTCTCTCAACCTGTTCCTGACGGTCTGTGCAGAAAGCCTCCTCAATCCGGGTATTTGTCGATCGGTACGGGTCGCCGTAGCTGTTCGATGACGCAGGTGATGTACCCGGATGTAGCGATCCTGCGCCGCACTGGTCGCTAGAGGTCGCCCACTACGAGGGGCATCTGCTACCGCATTCTGCCGGCGATATCTCTCCCAGAGCCGTGAAATGGTGCTTTAGTGAACATTCATGCGTCGGGCAACTGCACGTTGAGACTGGCCAGCTTCAAGCAAACCAATGGCGATATGACGGTTGGCTTCACTTAGACGTGGCATTTTGCGTTCGTCAACAATATTCCAAATGCAGTGAATAATCGACAGACAGCGATCAACCTTTTATACCCATCATTGAGACTATCTGATCCCCAACTTTCACGTGCATTGCATGTAAATTGTGTATTCTGTGACACTACACGCCGAAATTGAAAATCATGCTGTTAAATACAGGTATTTACGGATGGTGCGTTTTGTTGTGATGTTTCAAAACATAAACACCATAGGACTCATAAACAGAGCAAAACCTTTTGTAAAATGAATCACGTTTTAATTCATTGCTACATGAAATTGCTATTTTCATGATGCGTTTCTTTTTGGGGAGAGTATATTACCCAAACATGGAAAAAACGTATGGGAAAACAATATATTATTGTGTCGAACAGAGTTAGAATGAATTAACACTGTGTGGAAATATATATATAACTCCAATGCGAACAGTGGGCGGTGAAGTAGCCTAGTTGTTAAGGCGTTCGCTCGTCGCGCTGAAGACCCGGGTTCTATTCCCCACATGGGTACAATGTGTGAAGCCCATTTATGGTGTCCCCCGCCGTGATATTACTGGAATATTGCTAAAAGCTGCATTAAACCCAACTCACTCACTCACTCCCAATGCGACCGGAGAGGGTTGCAAAAGCTTGAAGTGTTGACAATTGTCTGTAATATATCTATATGTAATAGATGAACTCTTGTTGGTTGGTTTGTTAATATCCCAGCTATATGGCGGCGGTTTGTAAATAATCGAGTCTGGACCAGACAACCCAGTGATCAACAGCATGGGCACAGATCTACGCAATTGGGAACCGATGACATGTGTCAACCAAGTCAGCGAGCCTGACCACCCGATCCAGTTAGCCGCCTCTAAGCATGGGTTACTGAAGACCAATTCTTGTTGGACAACCCGTTATCACACTAGGTTGGAACCCAGCAGCCACGAGATGCCAGTGACTAGCGTGGGCGGTAAGTCAAGAGGTGGAAGCGTTCGATGGTCTCAACGAATACACGAGTTCGATTCCCCGTGTGTCGATTCCCTGTGTTTCTGAAACAACATAACGTTGCAAAGTTGAATATTATACGTAATGATAAGCTATTTTGGTATATAATGTACTTCTATTTAATGTCTACTTACGTTATAGAATGTAGGATACAAACAAACACTTTTTTTCAATTTTGCTGATCCAGTTCAAATGTGTCCATTTCACCGATCTGTTGTTACGTGGACTCACTGCTAACTCAAGATCACGTGCTACACTATTGTTCAGTGGCTGCCTAGCTCCGCCGTAATATTGTTTAGACCGATGTAAAACTTCACCGGGTTATTACAGATAGTCCTTGTACGTTGGGATTGGCGCTTCGGTCGCCCCGTCAGGGTCCGTCGTGTGGTCACGTTCCCATGTGTCCAGCAGTAGAGAGCTGAGACGCTGATTGGCTTCCATCTGATCCATGCACCTAATTTCATGGATGTTCTCCTCCGTTATCAATGGCATCACAGGGACAGAAATCAACAGCTTCGTCTCGTCCCAAGACAGCTGATTCTGAGCTAGAATCCAGTCAACGAGAGCTTTCAGCAGCACAAACTCACTTGAAAGAATAAGATCATTGCGAAGGGCGAAATGATGTAGCTGGTTGAAGCTCATTGCATTAAGTTCACCCTTCTTCCATATGTACTCAAAATGAAAAAGGATAAACTTGTATACTTCATTTTGGATGAACGAAGAATTATGTTTGATGGCCAAAGCTTGCAATGACAAATAGTTGTGTGCACCTATGATGTCTCTATGGCCGAACTCCTCTTCAATTGCAAGCTGAAGATCATCCATTTGTAGTAATTTTGCAGTATTAAGGAGGGCAGCTATGTTGTCTTCACGAAGCTGCGGTAGGACACCGGTGTACATGAAGTTGAGGGTGTCTTTGAAGGCATCGACATCTACATCCTCCAACGCCATTTCAACATCTCCAGCTGACAACCGCTCTTTGATATACGGTGACATGGACTTGACAATGATCCTGTGACAAGGGAAAGATGCATCACCAACTGTCACGGTCAGATCGGAGTGTGATCCTTCGTCTAGTGCCCTCTTTAGACCTGCCATGAAATGTGTTTGGTGTGATGTTTCCATATCTGAAACAAATAAATTAATTGTTTATGAAACATTTTTTATCACAATTTCCATCATTTCCAGCGACTTATTATTTTCAGGACACAACAAAAAACTGAAAGTATTGGTCCATAAATATATCTTGTGTACCTAGTGAACAGACAAATTGGGGACTAAGAATCACTGCGTGGCAGTTTCTGTGGGAGGAAAGCTCGAAGCGATCATATTCATTAAAAATACCATATGTGTAAGGAAGGCTCTTCAGGTATGGAGTCTACGTGATTGTGTATTGGACTTATACAACATTTTCAAACATATGACCTGAAGCATAACCCTACCAGAATATGCGTCACCAGATGCACGCGTTACACCGTTGTTGATATTGAAACCGTTTGGGTAACTGAAGACCATTCGTCGATGATAGATGTTTTGACTTTGCCAAATTGACAATGCAACAACCTAGCAGGAACCTCCTGGAGTATATGAAGAGTCATTTCATCCAAGTCCAAAGCTAAAATCTTTGTTTTGGATTTAAACTTCATCAGAACCATCAACTCGTTTCCCTTTTGTTCGAGAGAGTAGCCAGTGACATCTTCAAGCTGAGGAAAGTGTGTGATAGCCTGTGGGGAATTGTTATCGTTTATCACTCCGAATTCCAAGTCTGACGTCAGGTAATACATCTTGTCGTCCTTGGAAGCTATGGATGCAGAAAATAATCCTTGAGATGGCTGAAATTGTCCCAGACATGACGCTGCATCAATTCCAAATTCATTCAGAATAAAGACCTTCTTTGTAAGTGAATAATTGCTGACATCTTCTCCAATTAAGTAGACCTTGTCCCCAAAACAGCTGCCGAACAGTTTCTCATCTCTCCTCCAATGACACCAACCATCTTCCAGCCAGGCTCCCCATCCTCATCTTCTTCATACCTCAGTAGCTGGATGCCATCCTCGCATAATCCAAACACATACAGTTTATGTTGTACAGTGAGTATCTGGATGACATGCATTGGCGGCATGTCCATATCCTCCCAGCACCATGTCTGTACATTCAACCTATAGACACTGCTAAGACTGCTGAGCATTAGATCACCATTGAAGGCGAAGCCTCTTGGTGTTCCAGCCACACTGTGCATACCAGGTAGTGCTGGAACTTCGTACATCTTGCGGTCATCCAAAGAGTACATCTTCAGTACTTTTCTCCCATGGACTTCGTCATCACCAAATAGGACATTTGTAGGTTTGTCGTTGTGTCTCACAATCTGTTTTCCTGAGGCATTCTGCTCTTTCTTGGCCTCCTCGACAATATCTCGCGTATTCTGTCCTAGAGTTTCGAGTAGAGGGGCTATTTTAGATTTGAAGGTGTCATTTGAAACCTGGTTAATCGAGACATGAGCCAACAAGCGTGGTAGATGTGTTTCTGAGGAACTTTCTTGGTTTATTGTCCACAGGAGAACAGCCTTCAAAACATCTGCTTCATTTGTCACTCTCAGCTCATCACTGGCAAAATCTCACAGAGCTCGTCCTCAGTCAGGCTTGCAAACAGGTCTGTGTAGGATATTTTCTTGAAGTTTTTACAAATGAAACTGTTTGTCAGTTCGCACAGTATTTCCAGGACATATGTTCGTGCAACTCGCCATTGTTTCAACCACAATTTGCTCACGTCACCCTCGTTTATGAGGAACGTTTCACAACGTTCAATAAGGCTGTCCAAAAGGAACATTGAACTTGCGTGCAACACATCAAGCACATTGGAAGTATTCACGGCTGCGTTTCTGCGGTAAATGTGCTCCAGCACATTTCTGAAGGTATCCGGACTGATGCTTTGTACTTCTATCACCTTGTTGTCGGTTTCCTTGAAGCCCGAAGTAAACATGGCATCAAAGTAAGGTGACATCATTGCCAGGACGACCTTGTGGCATTGGAACATATCATCGTCTATCTTGATTGTGACGTCACAGTCGTTGTTCTTTGTTAAAGCTTCCCAAAGTTGTTCACGTAACTTGTCATAGACCCTTTTCTTGAAAGCTTGTTTATAGGCCATGGTGAGGGTTGGCTTGAAAGAAAATCATTAACTTGAAGTTGTGTCTATGGAACGGTTGGTCCAATCAACAGGTCAAATGTATGTTTGTACATTGCGTAGTAATGTGTAGATATATACTGTGATTATTTGCATGGGAAATATAATATAGAAATAATAATGAAATGAGAAAACGATCTATTTTCAGTTTAGCTAAATGAAACTAATTAAAGGCTAGATAATGCAATAATGTTAGTGGATTAGCATGGGTATACTGAATATTCTTTTTGTGTTTTGGTGGAACATCAACATAACAAAGGTTTTTTGAAAGTAAAATCGATTTGGATATTAATCCGCGTATTTGGAGTGTATTTTGATACAATGAAATTGAACTGTTGGATAGGTATGAACAAATACAATAGCTTGGGCATATATCCGCTCGTATCTTACATGGTGGAGTGAGTTTGTGGTCAATGCAATCGCCATGCCGATAACAGGATACGACCATCAATATGTGTACGTGTGAATCCAAATACCCCTGGCCTATCAATCGTGATACAACACTACCATTGAAGCGTCAGATTTTGCAAGAAAGTTGCTTACCTATGCTTAAGGTCAGGTTGTTATATATCTGCGACCTGTTCCTGTGTGGACCGTCCTTGCCCAGTGAGCTGATGCTCTGCTCAGACAGGTACAGATCACAACTAGGTTAAACCTCCCTGTTGCGAAATACACTGTCACCTCATAGCAGTAGTGATAGTTTCACAAGGCACAGATGAAACTGACCTACATTTCTGGCCACGATTTGCCCCAAATACGTCGATTGAGTTCATCTGTATGATAGTGACCATTGTACGTGGGCGTCATTGTAAGCGATCAAGTTATCTTCTCTCAGCGAACTCGTATACCTATACTAATAAGTCAACATGATTAATCGTAACACACATATTCACACCAAATACTGGTCGCGACAATATATGTTTGTGTGGGAAATATAGAGATATTTTTACTCTTGTGTGTTTCAATGAAATACTTTCGGAATATATATGGAATTATAATAGAGTCCTCCTGTAATGACCGTGCACAATAATGCTAAATAATTAGTAATCCAAGCTACATTAAAACAAAGTTAAATAATAATAAGTACATTATCGGATAAACCATAATTGTTAGGTTATGAATACCAGATATATTAGGTAAATAATGATTTTTTTGTACCTGCATTCGCTTGTCTGACATCTGTATCATTAGCTGCTTGAAAGGTGGTTTCGGGTTGTTTTTTGCTGTACAGATGTGAGTCATCTAACCGCGAGGCCTCATACAAATACCAGTATTCTAGATTTTCAAGAACGTGATGGATTTCTACGGCCTTGATCATTTCCTCCCACAAAGCGCCGAAAGCCTACGTTACTAACCCATTGACACAGGATGGGAATACATCCTATATTCCCAGATGTTTCACATTTCGCCGAGAAAGAAAGCAGTGAAAATCTGACAAAATATTGAGGGAACCACATTACGACTATAATAGACCATATCTAGCAACAGGAAGTGACGTCACTGACAATATTCATGTTCTGTGACGTAATAATCGTGTGTCTGTCTGTATGACTACAGGTCTCTCTTCATAGTATATCACTTTCATATTGTTATTGTATTCAACCGCTATTATTAGTCATATTAATAATATTGGTAGTATAGTATGTACTTTTGATTAAATATTATAGACAAATATGATCGTTGAACTCATTTATTTGATGTATGTTTGTAAATTGCTGTTGTTTTTATAAATACAACATACACGTCAGTACATATAAGGATTATTGTAACAATTTTTCAAGAACATACATGAACTTGAGTCTGGACCTTCAGGACATTCCAACAAACCCAACAAAGTAAAAGTAAATATTTCCATACACTCTTGGTATCTCGAAATATTTGTGTATCATTCCATTCGGCTTGTACAACCAGTTTTGTTTGTGTACAACACGCCAAAAACAACAGAAAACAACAACAACAAAAAAACCAAAAAAACAACAACCAAAAAGCCAAAACAACAAAAACAGCAGGCAAACAAAAAATTCTGAGCGATGCGATGAAGGTATGTGCTCAAAATGTGATACAGTTACATCACACCCTTTGTAGTTTCGTTATATGGAGCACACATTTTTCTCAGAGTTAACCCAGGGTGTCGTAATATCCAACTTGGATTTGGTTTGAAAGTATACAAGTGACTATAAACAATGCTGGTGATGAATTCAGACTGCAGATTTTCTGGCAATTTCCTGGTTATTTCTTAAACACGGCCCTTGGCACTGAGTTTGAACCTCAAACTGTGCAGTTCATACACAGAAGAACGTCGGTGGCAGCCTCTCCGGTGTTGGCGTGATACATCATATTGAGGAGATAAACCATTTCCATAATAGAATGCAATGTCAGCTACTAACACAGCCATGTTACTAGTATATCATAAGCGGGGTAGACTAGTAGTTAAAGCATTCGCTCGTCACGCCGAAGATCCGGGTTCGATTCCCCACATGGGTACACTGTGTGAAGCCCATTTGTATTGTCCCCCTCCGTGATATTGCGGGAATATGGCTAAAAGCGGCGTAAAACAAAACTCATTCACTCACTATATCATTAGCATGTGTAAACATTCTTAGAAAACAATTCTTTTAACTTGTTTCAACCAGTTTCGAATATGATTCCCTTTTGAACTACATGGAATCTCTTGATTTTTGTATGGCCATTGCATGCCGATAAGCTGCAGTCGTTCTATTGAGTAAGACAATCCGTAATAATACTGATAGTATCATTATCTCGCTACAGATAGTGCATGTGAGAATTGAAACTCGGAGGGTGGTCTCTGTTTCTCATGCTCAGGACCTTTGTATGATCACGCTGCCATGTCTCCAGCAGTAGAGAATTGAGACGCTGATTGGCTGCCACCTGATCCAGGCACCCAATCTCCTGGATGTTCCCCTCCGTAATCAATGGCATCCTGGGGGCAGAGATCAGCTGTTTCGTCTCGTCCCAAGAGAGCTGATTCTGAGCTAGAATCCAGTCAACGAGAGCTTTCAGCAGCACAAACTCATTTGAAACCAGAAGATCTCTGTGAAGGGCAACGTGAAGTAGCTGGCTGAAGCTCATGGCATGAAGTTCTCCCTTCTCCCATATGCACTCAAAATGACGTAGGATAAAGTGGTTTACTGGACTTTCGATGGTCGAAAATTTATGCTTGATGGCCAGAGCTTGCAAAGACAAATAATTTCGTTCAGTAATGAGGTCACCCCATCTGATTTTCTTTTCAATATCAGTCTGGAGATCCGCCATTTGCAGTGCTGTTGCTGCTTGAAGGGCGGCAACAATGTTGTCTTCACGAAGCTGCGGTAGGACACCGGTGTACATGAAGTTGAGGACATCTCTGAAGGCATCTACATTCACATCCTCCACCACCATTTCAACATCTCCATCTGACAATCGCTCTTTGATATACGGTGACATGAACTTGACAACCATCTTGTGACAAGGGAAAGATGCATCGCCAACTGTCACAGTCAGATCGGAGTGTGATCCTTGGTCCAGAGCCAAGTCTGAAATACCAATAAATCTATATTGAAACTTGCTCATTGTACAATGGTTTGTTATCGGTTACAGGACTGAAATAGAAAACATTTGGTCATTTTTAAGTACAGTTCATGAAGTACAAATATATTCAGTAGAACTACTGCTGTGTATCGAAACATCTGTACATATTACAGAAATATTTTCAGCAACATTCCATGAATATCGGATACCACAATTCGCGATGTAGAAACAAATGTCCACACAGCTCGTTATTGATTCATGATTGCACACCGAAATTTTACTGGTTACAGAAGTGTTATAAGACCAGGTAGTAATTAAGAAATATAGTACAGATTAAAAACTGAAACAATGATAATTTCCTGAGTATATTGGGACGATATTTCTTGTAAAGACATGATATTGAAAGTTTCGAGCGTCTCACATCAATATCTTTGGCAATATGTACATCGTTGAGCAAACTAAAGAATGTTTGAGCATACCTGCATAAGGGTGTCTGGATATCTTTTTAGACCTTTGTACCACTTTGTCAACTTCAGAACACTTGTCGATAACCAAGGTTTTGATGACATCAAATTGACCATCACGCAGCACAACAGGAACTTCCTCATGTGGATGGAGAGTCATCTCCTCCAAGTCCAAAGAGTAAATTTGTATTTTAGATGCAAAATACTTCAGAACCATCAACTCTTTTCCCTTTACTTGTAGAGTGCAGCCACTGGGATCTTCAGGCTGAGGAAAACGTGTGATAGCCTGTGGGGAATTGTTATCGTTTATCACTCCGAATTCCAAGTCTGACGTCAGATAATACATCTTGTCGTCCTTGGAGGCTATGGATACAGAAGATCTTCCTTGAGATGGCTGAAACTGTCCCAGACATGACGCTACATCAATTCCAAATTCATTCAGAATAAAGACCTTCTCCATACATTGAGATGGGAAACAATCGGTGAGATCTTCGCCAATTAAGTAGACCTTGTCCCCCAAAACAGCTGCCGAACAGTTTCTCATCTCTCCTCCAGTGACCCCAACCATCTTCCAGCCAGGCTCCCCATCCTCATCACCTTCATACCTCAGTAGCTGGATACCATCCTCGCATAATCCAAACACGTATAGTTTATGTTGTACAGTGAGTATCTGGATGACATGCATTGGCGGCATGTCCATATCCTCCCAGCACCATGTCTGTACATTCAACCTATAGACACTGCTAAGACTGCTGAGCATTAGATCACCATTGAAGGCGAAGCCTCTTGGTGTTCCAGCCACACTGTGCATACCAGGTAGTGCTGGAACTTCGTACATCTTGCGGTCATCCAAAGAGTACATCTTCAGTACTTTTCTCCCATGGATTTCGTCATCACCAAGCAGGACATTTGTAGGTTTGTCGCTGTGTCTCACAATCTGTTTTCCTGAGGCATTCTGCTCTTTCTTGGCCTCCTCGACAATATCTCGCGTATTCTGTCCTAGAGTTTCGAGTAGAGGGGCTATTTTAGATTTGAAGGTGTCATTTGAAATCTCGTTAATCGAGACATGAGCCAACAAGCGTGGTAGATGTGTTTCTGAGGAACTTTCTTGGTTTATTGCCCACAGGAGAACAGCCTTCAAAACATCTGCTTCATTTGTCACTCTCAGCTCATCGTTGGCAACAATCTCACAGAGTTCGTCCTCAGTCAGGCTTGTAAACAGGGCCGTTTCGGATATTTTCTTGAAATTTGTATAAATGAAACTGTTTGTCATTTCGAGCAATTTCTTCAGCTTATACTTACGTGCAGCTCGCCATTGTTTCACCCACGATTGACTCATCCTATACTTATCTGTAAGAAACTCTTCACAACGTTCTATAAGGCTTTCCAAAAGGAACATTGAACTTGCGTGCAACACATCAAGCACATTGGAAGTATTCACGGCTGCGTTTCTGCGGTAAATGTGCTCCAGCACATTCCTGAAGGTATCCGGACTGATGCTTTGTACTTCTATCACCTTGTTGTCGGTTTCCTCGAAGCCCGAAGTAAACATGGCATCAAAGTAAGGTGACGTCATTGCCAGGACGACCTTGTGGCATTGAAACATATCATCGTCTATCTTGATTGTGACGTCACAGTCGTTTTTCTTTGTTAAAGCTTTCCAAAGTTGTTCACGTAACTTGTCATAGACCCTTTTCTTGAACGCTTGTTTATAGGCCATGGTGAGGGTTGGCTTGAAAGAAAATCATTAACTTGAAATGGTGTTGTTTTTAGATCGGCACGATGATATCCGAGTTCAATGGCCAAATGTACGTTTACATATAATTGATTAGAAATGTGGTGTGATTATTTGTACGTAATGATACGAAAAGGATGATAATTACCAAATTAGCTACATAAAACTTGATATAATGATTCCATGATTCCAATATTAAAATTCTCAAAATTAAATTAATCCCAAGAATTAATTACTTGATCCATGTGTTTATCGAAATATTGGTCGGGGAAAGTATATGTATATTATGAAATCCTGATGGGCCCCATATGTAGGGACCTACTCGAATACACACAATCATGTGCCAACGTACCTAACAAAATAAGGGCCTACCTGTGGGTTACTTGAAGGAGGCCTATGTGTTCGCTAGGGAGACAATGTCTCTTTGTATTGAAATGATGTTCTAGATCATCACTGGTCGTGATCTTTGTTCATACATTCATTGTCCGTACATACTGAATACTGATCAAACACTCCCATCCAAGTATTGCAACGTCAGCTGTCACCTTACACCGGTAATACAGCCCAACCAAACTTCGCTGTAGCTGACCTACATGTTGACGTGTGGTGATATATCGCACAAACAGATCAAACTCCCCCTCCAAGTATTGCAACATAGTTTGTAACCTCAGACCAGCTGTACAGCCCACCTAAACCCAGCTGTAGATGGCCTACGTGTTGACGTGCCGTGATATAACGTACACACTGATCAAACTCTCCCCTCCAAGTATTGCAACATAATTAGATCAGCTGTACAGCCCACCTAAACTCCGCTGTAGCTCAACTACATGCCACGGTTTTAGTCCTGATATTGTTGGTTAGCTGTACAAGGTTGCCACGTGTGATGTGGGGACGTGTCCTCATGTCCCCAGTTTACACAAAGGGGACGAGATAAGACTTTAGTGTGCACTGATTTGCATGCTGGAAATACATGCAACATTCAGTTTCCTTAGCAAAATTCTTAATACAATATCAAACCATCAATCAACCTTTCTCATCACAATCATCTGATACCCTAAGCCGCTGTCAAAGTCCACCTCCCTGACAACTCCACGAAGCATCTTGTCACTATCGCGATAAACACATCGCACAAGCCAACATGGTCACGTTTGCGTTTCATGAACCACCACACAATACCGAAAATCCAAAGTAATACCAAGCTTGCCTCGCACCTCCACTGTCTAACGTCAGTCTTACCATTTCACACACCACCTCACATTACCTAACATCCGATTCATACCGATCTTGCCTCGCACCTCCACTGTCTAACTTCAGTCTTACTATTTCACGCACCACCTCACAATACCTAACATCCGATTCATATTTAGGGCTTTATTTAGGGCTTTAGAACTGCAGAGAGGGCTTGGCAGTAGGGAAAATAATGTGGTTCAGGGACTGCGAGACAGGCTACAAATGACCTTTAACCTGGAATCGGGTTTGATGTCAGTGTGTTGACAGACGAACGCTGTGGTGAATGCGTGTTGGCAAAGTTATCTCCCTTGTTATTCAGACGGTTCGTGCCGGTGCGTGCGTAAAAGGTCTTGCTGAACGTTCTGTTCACTGTTTGAGCGTCATTACATGTGAGTGAGTGAGTGAGTGAGTTTAGTTTTACGCCGCTTTTAGCAATGTTCTAGCAATATCAATGGGCTTCACACATTGTACCCATCATTTCATGTGTCTCTGTTAACAAGTTTGGCGCAGTAGAACCGAGGGGTACACGAGTAATGGACCCTTGTACATCAAACGTTTGCTTCGGCAGCGACCACGTTCACACCTTGGCTAGCACACCCCTGCATGTTTATACATTCGCTTGCTTTCGCGAGCACTTTTGATAGTGCTTATACATCTTAAGGGAAGAAAAAAACCCACAAACATTCTCACAGCCGTAAAAGATCTATGTTATTAGCATCCGAATCGGAATCGGAATCTTACAAACAATGGTTTCTTATAATTTCTTGTGCTTTTCCTCTGATTTAATTATTTAGATCCAGGAAGTATATCTACGACATATAGACCCCTGTTCCACATTGATGTCCCCCGCCTCGGTTAACCCTACACACATAACGTCATGCCAGATAGGGGCAGTTGGGTAGCTTAGTGGTTAAAGCGTTCGCTCAACACGCCGAAGACCCTGGTTCGATTCCCCACATGGGAGCAATGTGTGAAGCCCATTTCTGGTGTCCCCCACCGTGATATTGCTGGAATATTGCTAAAAGCGGCGTAAAACTAAACTCACTCACTCATGCCAGATAAAATATATCACATGTATAATTTGTAGTCAGTATTGGCAGTAATGTAGTCACTTGTCATTGTCGCGATAAATTAACACTGTCAACAGGTCAAAACAGGTCAAAGAATATATTTTGTTATTGTTTCAGTGAATATAAATAATTACACTCCAGCTGCTGACATGATATTGTATTCGTTAGTGTAGACCGAATATTCGTGATATGTATCATATTCGACTCATAGTGGTTTCGTCTTTCAGATTAATGCGGTAAACATATACGTTAACATGGACTGACTGACTGAGTTTGGTTTTACGCCGCTTTTAGCAATATTCCAGCAACATCACGGCGGGGAACACCAGAAATGGGTTTCACACATTGTACCCATGTAGGGATTCGAACCCGGGTCTTCGGCGTGACGAGCCAACACGTTAACATGGATCCCAATTGCATTCATATACCTATACCTATACATATACGTATAGGTATACATGTATAGGTACGCAAAGTAGGCTGTTTTCAACTATAACCTATGCAATACTTGCATTGAATTGACGTATCAATTAACGGAATGTGTATGCTTGCGTTTCATTAAATGATAATGTCTGTCGCGGCTACGGCTGGAGAGGTTATATATGAATAACCATGCTTTGAAGTCCGTTATATGTCACTAGCACCTGATATATTATGGTTTAACAGTTCTCTTTCACCTTCTATAGGTAAACGTGTCAGCGTAACAGAATGTTACAAGTACATTTATCTATTCATCAAATATTTATTTTGTATTTTCATTATTTGACAAATAGACGCAATATACGAAGATTCATTCTGATCAATAAACGATCATGTATTACTGTATTACTATTTCGATAGCAATCGTCATTAAATCAGTATTACTTTAACGCTTACGTACTTTGACCCGGTTGATAAAGAGATATATGACATGGCTATAGAATATACGGTGTAAGGCATACACACAATCAACAACAAACGTGGATTCACACCTTTGATATCCTAGGAAGGTAACGCGTGTTTTAACGGCTTTACCTCTACCAGGAGAAACATTTCTATTGCTTTCTTAGTTGTGCGGGGCTTTCATTCAAAGGGTGTTTGTTGCTGGATTGTGGTGTTAGGCTGGGTCAGTTAGCAATACATTCACTGCTATAGAAAACCAATAATAAGAGCACATCTCCTCAAATATACACGTCAATAATCTGAACGAGACACTTCGTACCATTATCATTGATCGTTCAACTTGAACATGCCCTTTCCCTGTTTACATAAACACTGTGATCGAACTGTACCACCGACGACTTGAACGTTTCGCCAGACACTGAAATGTGACTGATCTTACTACGTTGAAGAATTATTCTTACTGATAAACATGTAGACATTTGGATTGAGGATTATTTGGGAAGAACTTGACGAGACCAGCATGGATCTGTATGTGACACTGTACCTGTGTTTAATGGCCGGTGTCGGTCTTGGCCAGGTAAGTTGGAAGCACGCTATCAACCGTTAACCTATTCCCATAAGGTTCTGTTAATGTATTACTCCAAAATCTCCTCCTCTTTGTCTTTTGCTCACAGCTCTCTGATTCACTAATTTCATATATATTTTCACCGGGGACAGCAAATCCGTAACCCTGAAGTGTATCCGGCGTTCTCTAGTATAGAGGGGCGGTGGGGTAGCCTAGTGGTTAAAGCGTTGGCTCGTCACGCCGAAGACCCGGGTTCGAATCCCCACATGGGTACAATGTGTGAAGCCCATTTCTGGTGTCCCCCGCCGTGATGTTGCTGGAATATTGCTAAAAGCGGCGTAAAACCAAACTCAGTCAGTCAGTCTAGTATAGAGATGGGTGAGTGAGTTAGTGAGTGAAGTTTTAGGCCGCTTTTAGCAATATTCCAGTAATATCACGGCGGTGGACACTAGAAATGAGTTTCACATATTATACCGATATGGGGAATGGAACACTAGGCTACCGCCCCGCCTCGTACAGAGATGAAACAAATGTCTCGTTACACGATCCGACTCTGTCAGGGTATTCCAACGTCTGCCAAGTCACCTCTTCCAACAGTAAAACTGACATATTACTCTTCATTTAACACACCATTAATACTCAATATCACAGTTACAACTTGGTTACAACTGAATTCTCGCCTGAGTGTGACTGTGCGACAGAGAGTGAACGTGTTCAGCAGTATTCCAACAAAAGACCCCAAGGAAGGTCAAATGTGAATTTTGAATTCAGTTCAAACGTATGAAATCGAACCTGGCCTTTTTCTGTTTGTGGAGCGAAGGTGCAGACCACAAGGCTATTCTTCCGCAACCTGAACCTAGGAAGACGCACATGAAAGCTGTGCATGTCATAGTCATAGTGAGTGAGTGAGTATGTATGGTGTTACGCCGCTTTTAGCAATATTCCAGCAATATCACATCGGGGGACACCAGAAATGGGCTTCACACATTGTACCCATGTGGGGAATCGAACCCGGGCCTTCGGCATGACGAGCGAACGCTTTGACCACTAGGCTACCCCACCGCCTCCATAGAATTAGAATGAAAAAATTACAGTACTATGCTGCTACAAATAATTGATAATGGTATATTGAAAAATTTGCTTTGTCCAGGTACAGATTCAAAATCCAACCCTCTCGGCGACCTTGAACCAGCTTCAGCCGACAGACCTGTGTGTCTACCCGCTAACTGTCACCCCTGACCCCCACACGTGCTCCCAGAATATCACAACCCTCGCCATGTTTGCCGTCCAGAAGAGAGCCGGGGACCCTGGTGAGTTGCTCGGTTTCTACATGATTTTAAACCAAACCAGCACCGTTCTCGTGGGTTCCACCAAAATGGTAAAGGTCAGGGACATGACAGAAACGTGATACAGTCTGATATTCCTGAACGATACCCATCCCAATCCAATTGCTACACCCTTATTCTCTCTTCGACATGTGAAGGACAAGAAAATTAAATCTAATATTAGTTTAAGTAAATGATTTATACAAATGATTTATAAACATCATAACCAACCACAGAAAATAACAAGTCATGGTTATCTATCGAAACAGCTTCCGTTTTGCATAAAAGGTAAAACTATGGAATTCCAGAAGGGACATTGTAGCCCTTATAAACACAAGCAAACAATGTCATGATTAACCCAAGTGCTACAATGCTACAACGCGACAATGTCCCTAGTAGGATTCCATACACACCAGGTTCATGATACAGTAAATTAACGCCTGGCAGAAGTTGATGAGATGATATACGACCATTGCAGTCTTGGTTCTTAACGGCAATCCTTTCAGCATCACGAGATAAAGAAATACGTGAAAATGATTGCAATAGTTAGTTCATGGTAGTGCTCACACTTCCAGACTTCTGTGTGTACTACTTGTCTGCCAATGGGCCTCCAACTGTACCGTCCTACAGGGTGGAGTTTTCATGTCTCGACAGCAGCAACAACATCGACCACAGCTACGTCCAAATTGCTGTCATCCCCGACTCTCCGCCGGTGTTCACGGAGGGTGCTGCAAGTATGAACCAACTGTCTCTATTCCTACCTTTCAGTGAAGCGGGTTAGAGTGAGTGAGTGAGTTTAGATTTTACGCCGCTTTTAGCAATGTTTCAGCAATACCACGGCGGTTAACAATAGAAATGGTCTTCACACTTTGTACCCATGTAGGGAATCGAACCCGGTTCTTCGGCGTGACGAGCGAACGCTTCAACCACTTGGCTACCCCACCGCCGACGAAGCGAGTTAGAATCGGCAAGCAACGCATTCATGCTTGTCGTAGTGGGGGAGGAATTGGGATCAAGTCAGGCAGTGACTGTACGCCATAGTACCCCGATGTACCGCGATGTACCCCGATGTACGGGGCAGTGCTCATTCTTTCAACCACTGGTTTGCGTCGATTCTAGGCGCCATGATTCAAAAGGGATAGGTATGATAGACTACTGACACAGAGCTGGAATAATGCTGGGTGCGGCGTAAAACAAAACTAAATAACAAGCTGAACAAAACGAATTTCTCAAACCAGACGATGAAACCAGACGGACATGCCAGCATAATGTTGTTAAATGCCGCTTCCAGTATTCAATTACAGTTTACTGAATCTTTACTACTTAAGATTTCTCAACACTACCAAAATGTCCAAGACAGCTGATCGACATAATTTTTTTTACACAATCATGCCAGCTATAAACACCGACCTGTCTGATGTGCAGGTTGTCAATATCCACAACTAAGGAGGTGTTTAGATGAAAGATGGCGATGTGTCGTAATGTATGACCAACTCTCACTGTTTTTTTGTGTCTAGTATCGAAGACCGTCGACGCGCTGACCATAAAAACCGGCAACACACTATTCCCATCACTCGTCACCGACCCGAACGGGGACGATCTCGTCTTCAGCCTGGATCCAACATCTCCAGCGTTCGAAATAGACCCACGTACGGCGCTTTATCACCTCTTTATAAATATGCTTGTTTTGTTGGCAATGATCATGACAGGATTCCATATATTTTTATTATCGTAACATAAACGTGTATTGACAAACTGTGCAAAAACCATGCAAGTGTGGGAAAATGAGTACAAGGAGTATGATGGGAGCGAGCATAGTATTGATGATAAGGACACAAATGCTTCACATGAACATCATTTAAACTGGAGTGTTGCTTTGTCCTGTTTGGGGAAACTAGTTTGTTTCTGTTTCCAGCTACTGGTAACGTGAAGGCAAAAGTAAATTTCGACACGTTGAGTACAACACCGTACAACTTCAAGATCAAAGTCACAGACGGTCAGACAATGGTGGAGCAACAGGTGACCCTCAACCTGAATAGTGAGTATCAGTGGTGGTCATCTGTCAATGGTCATCAGAGAGTATCGGTGGTGGTCATCTGTCAAGGTCATCAGAGAGTATCAGTGGTGGTCATCTGTTACTGGTCATCAGAGAGTGTCGGTGGTGGTCATCTGTCAAGGTCATCAGAGAGTATCAGTGGTGGTCATCTGTTACTGGTCATCAGTGAGTATCAGTGGTGGTCATCTGTCACTGGTCATCAGTGAGTATCAGTGGTGGTCATCTGTCACTGGTCATCAGAGAGTATCAGTGGTGGTCATCTGTCACTGGTCATCAGTATCAGTGGTGGTCATCTGTCAATGGTCATCAGGGAGTGATCAGTGGTGGTCATCTGTCATCAGAGAGTATTAGTGGTGGTCATCTGTCATCAGAGAGTATCAGTGGTGGTCATCTGTCACTGGTCATCAGTGAGTATCAGTGGTGGTCATCTGTCACTGGTCATCAGAGTCACTGGTCATGAGTATCAGTGGTGGTCATCTGTCACTGGTCATCAGTGATCTGTTATATCAGTGGTGGTCATCTGTCACTGGTCATCAGAGAGTATCGGTCGTCACTCGTCATCTGTCACATGGTCATCAGTGAGGGTGGTGGTCATCTGGTCAGAGAGTATCGGTCGTGGTCATCTGTCACTGGTCATCAGAGAGTATCGGTCGTGGTCATCTGTCACTGGTCATCAGGGTGGTGGTCACCTGTCATTGGTCATCAGTGAGTATCGGTGGTGGTCATCTGTCACTGGTCATCAGAGAGTATTGGTCGTGGTCATCTGTCACGCCGAAGACCCGCGTTTGATTCCCCACATGGGTACCATGTGTGAAGCCCATTTCTGGTGTCCCCCGCCGTGATATGGCTGGAATATTGCTAAAAGCGGCGTAAAACCATACTCACTCACTCATTCACTCATTGATCATCAGAGAGTATTGTAGTGATGATCTTTCACTGGCATCAGTAAGTATTGGCTAAAGCGAGGGTTGGGTGGGGATGGTTGCGGGGAGTTGAGTGGTTGATTACTCTTCCTCTCCAAAATATACTGGAGCTGTAGAAGAGCATTATATTACCTTAAGCTTGGCCAAAGAGTAAGGTACAGTCAACCACGTAGAAACTCAAAGGGACAACTAAGTATAGTTCGTTATACCCGGAATTCGCTGTACATATTTCGACTAAAATGTAGAGTAAGTGACCCAAACCTACTTCGTTACACCCGTTAGTTTGGTATAAGCGAGTTCGTGTTATACACAGATTACTGTACATATCTACCAAACTGTTGCAACAGGGAGACATGGTGAATAAACAAGTACATATATACTTGTTTTCATGATGGTGATGACTAACATTAGCATTGCATACACACGGCCATGCATGCATTTACATGCATATTGTTGCCTACAGATCTCAACACAGCGCCTACTATAACAAACTTGCCGACGACGCTGACGATTCCCGAAGACGTCGCTCCGGGCGTCGCCCTGTACACCTGCACCCATGACGAGCCCGGCACCATCACTATAACGCTTGACGTCAATCCCGTCACTGAAAGAGCAACATTTGACTTGAACCCAACAAGTAGGTGCATTGTGGATATGGTGCAGTGCCCCTCGTACCTTTATTCGGATTGTAGTGGAGAATTGTGACCGTCGAGATGTGGTTTATTTTTGGCATAGCATTGCGACACTATTGTAGTAGATGTACAACTGTGGAAAAATAGTTACAACAATTAGACAGCCACTTGGAGAAACTGGACAAATGTTGCGTTGTTTGAGAAAGTCTGGGTGGGTGGGTGAATGAGTGAGATAGGTTGATGTAAGGGAAGTAGCCCGTGTCGATGTGCATCAGTATAGACAATTGATCGCCAATGTACATAAAATAGATGATCTTTACTGCACATCAATGCAGACAGTTGATGTCCGCTTCCCACATACCGTGTTTCAGCGTGCACCATATCTGTAGCAGCAGGGAAAAAACTGGACTTTGAGACAATTAGCTCCATGACCATGACCTTGGTCTTGAATGATGGAGTACTCAGCTCGACATTCTCATTTCCTCTGAACGTCCTCGACCGGAACGACCCACCAGCCTTCACAAGCCCCACCTACACCATGAACATCCTGGAAGGCCCCGTGAGTGCACCAACAGCTGTTGGTCTAGATACTGATGACGCGGGAGACGAAATCTCGAATTTCGTCCTAGGTTCTTCTGCAAGAGGCATTTTACACAGGAAATGCTGTTGATTGATTAACTGTATGCCCACTAGAAATGGCGATAATTCTAATATTGTTTATAACTTCAATATATAAATGAGTCATCGAAAATCAAAGATATATAGTAAAATAGTCAGCATGCCCTATTCCATATGGAAAATATTTTACCAATTGTTTTCATTTCTCGTTGAATTTTGAATGAGTCCTCGTACGTGACTCTGTTATCATGCAAGGGGTTGTCATTGTGCGACCTTTGTTTAGCATGTCAAGGAATTAAATTGTACATATCGTTTAACCATTATTGCTCCCATTTACCCAATGCTTCTGCTTAAGTAATACTGAAATTTGGATCTTTCTGTGAAACTGCAGGTCCCCGTCACGCCAGCCATCCAGCCAGCGTTCACCGTGACCGACGAGGACGCCGGCGAAACCCATACCTTCGCCATGGGTACCGGCACATACGACTCCTTTTTCACGATCAATTCTGGGACGGGGGCACTCCAAAACATCAAAGAAATCGACTTTGATGCCGGCCTAACGCAAGTACCTGTCACGGTCATCGTCACAGACAAGGGAGGGGACACAGCGACGACAACCGTTAACGTCAACGTTGCCGACTTCAACGACAACGACCCCGAGTACGCAATTACCAATACAAACTTGTTCATCAGTCCGAAGACTCCGGTGGGCACTATTGGTCAGGTGACGGCAACCGACAAGGACACTGGTGTCAACGCTGCGCTGACCTACTCCCTCCAGGCGGACAACTCCGGGGGAAGGTTCCTCGTGCAACCTGACGGGTCAGTGTATTTACAGACAGTCGTGACTGAGGCCCAGCGTAACGACATCTACACCCTGACAGTGAGAGCCACGGACGGTGGCACCCCTCCCAGAAACGCTGATACTACCGTCACTGTGCAGTTTGTAAGTAAATAAGTGAGAGAGTTAAAATTAAACGTCACATCACTAAATCGTGACGACAGAAAGTTTCACGTAGATGGATATTATGTATTCAGATATTCAAAAGCTGTCTTTGAAGAACAGTACAGCACATAAGTCCTCACAGATTATACAGATATAACTAGTCTGAGAACAAGAATTAAATATTATTGAACAGAGCGTTTTAAATATGGTCTCTAGATCACCAGGCCCCGATTTCTCGAAGCAAACTTAAGTGTGAGTTTTGACTTGAGTAAGAGTTTTTACTCAAATTTGAGAAAAAGCAGCAAAATGCATTTTTGACAATTTGAGTTGGGTAGATAGGCTATTTCAGTTGTTTGGGCTTTTTTATAAAAAAAGAAATGCAGTTCAGTTAAAAAATCAGCTGTTCCAAATTGTCAAACTCAGTTTGAAATTTGAGTAAAAACTTAAGTTTTTTTCGAGAAATCGGGGCCAGGAGCCAAAGTTTGGCCACCGCACTAGCAATACTTCTGCAGTTTACTGCAGGAGTTACCCGAACCCTTCAGCTGTAGGCGATGGTGCACAGCTTAGCCTCCAGTTCAACTTTACAAATATACTACGATTTCAACTGTTCAAGGAATATACGTTAACATACCTTCTGAATATGACAGTAGTTTTTCACTACTTCAAACCGCTTTTTGGATACATACCATTCTATGTTCCAAATATGTTACATTTTATTTTTCTGTATTATCTATTAATAAAATTATCGATAAGTTCTAAAGTACCATAATTAGATATGAATATATATGATTCAAAAGATCCTTTGGGGATGGAACTTTGAAATACTTATCCCCCGTGATTGAAAAATCGACAGTCAAGCACGGCATTATTGACTGTGTAAGAATCATCTCCACACACTTACTTGTTTAAAGCAATTGCGTTTAAAGGTGAGATTTAAGGTGAGATGAGAGGCAAGAGTTACTTCCCCTTATATACCTAGAAAATGTACCAGATCCGCCTTCACCTCCCTGGTTCAGAATATGGTGGAAAGGATCATAGGATTGTAGAGTACCTTCCCGAACTCTGTCTTAAAGTAGCACATCCCTGCCCACTACTGTACAACGTCATACACTTGGAACGCTGTTACTCAATGATTAACACTTCCACATAACAATACAAACTGACGGACATAAGGCATAGCCTTGAAAATTGGATTTTGAACCAAAACATCACAAAAGCCATCAAAATATGACTGAAAACATTCGCCGAAACACTGTAAAAACTTCCGTTGAAATCACAACTCTGTCACTCGTATCAACTACATAACCATCGAGACCCGTGAAGGTCCGGGTTAGAATATTGATCTTCAGTAACCGATGCTTGTCGTGAGAAGCGACTAACGGGATCGGGTGGTCAGGCTCGCTGGCTTGGTTGACACATGTCATCGGTTCCCAATTGCGCGGATCGATGCTCATGCTGTTGATCACTGGATTGTCTGGTCCAGACTCGGTTATTTACAGACCGCCGCCACATGGCTGGAATAAAGCTGAGTGCGGCGTAAAACTAAACTCACACACTCATAACCCCCGAATCACAAGTTTTTGTTTGTGTCATTCTCAGAAACTGTGAAACAATTGTCCAATTGTCCCGTAGTTGTGGAAACTGAGACCGAGAACACGATTGTTTTCGCTATGTGTGAACACCCCCGGAAAAAAAACCAAACTTACTTTTCCATGTTTCCAGAACGTACCCCCTGTGATTACCAACTTGCCAGGTTCCGCGTTTCTGAGTGAGGACACAAGTACGAAGACAGAAGTCTTCAAGATAGAAGTGACTGAGACCGACACTTACGGTTGCGAGGCCGACAGAGTCCTTCCCGCCACAGCCAACACTGCGTTCGTCGTAGAGAAGAAGACGGGAGGGCAAGGTAACTACATTTTTTTTATTTAATGTCTATCTAATCGCCTTTGCCAATTGAGTTCAATGAGGTTCATTCTGACAGAGTAGGTGGGTAGCCTAATGGTGAAAGCGTTTACTGGACATGGGCACATCCGGGATTGAAGCTGTTGATACTGTTGGAATGTTGCTATTTTATAAAGGTATCGGTAAACCAAAGCATTATTCACTTCACCCTGGGATTGATGTGTATCGCATAACAATATCATGATTAAAGAATGAAATAAGAATTATGTATATATTTCCAGATTCGTTCGTGTTTTACACTGGTCTGCAACCATTATCGTTTGCAACCATCCCTTCTTTCACTGTGGATGTAATCTGTACGGACTCCCACGACGGCAAGTCAATCAGGAGCACGCTCACTGTCAACATCAGACAGAATACCCCTCCGAACCTTAACTGTAACCCCAGTAAGTTATATTCCATATACTCGAGCTCATTGTCAAATATTTTCTTGAAATACAATGGATGCTGTGACACGGTGAAGTTGCCTTTAGCGGTAGTACAGGGATTAGAGTAGATATTTGGTACAACAGTTACAGAATTACTGAAACTGAAAACATATAGTTGAACTCAGCCTCAAACTCGAGCTTGTGGCTTTCATCTCCGTCTAACATGTCAACGACCTCAGCCACCAGGCCGGCACGCTTTGGAGTGGATGGAATTCTGTTCTAAGTGGCCAACCACACTCACTTATTTTGAATATTAACTTCTTAACTGAAATCTAACCTTCGGAATCTGTATCATAAGCAAGGTTAATGTTTGATGATTTTGTTTCGTAGATTTGATTGGTGTTGATGCGTCTGTAGCCAACGTCGGCGACACTGTCCACACCATGGTTGCGACCGACGATGACACTCTGACGTTGCAGATGTCTGTACAACCGAATCCTGGAACATTCACCATACTCAATAGTACGTTACCAAACCTATATTACGTCAACAGTGGTGTTTATATTACGTCCATAAAGTTTGTTCAGTATATATTACGTCAACTGTAGTGTTTATAGTATGCCAACAGCGATTTTTATATTACGTCAACTGTGATGTCTATATTACGCAACTGTGATGTCAATATAACGTCAACAGTGGTGTCTATATTACGTCAACAGTGGTGTCTATATTACGTCAACAGTGGTGTTTATATTACGTCCATAAAGTTTGTTCAGTATATATTACGTCAACTGTAGTGTTTATAGTATGCCAACAGCGATTTTTATATTACGTCAACAGTGATGTCTATATTACGTCAACAGTGGTGTCTATATTACGTCAACAGTGTTGTCTATATAAAGTCAACTATAGTGTTTATAGTTTGCTCAACAGCGATTTTTATATTACGTCAACAGTGTTGTCTATATTACGTCAACTGTAGTGTTTAAAATATGTCAACAGCGATTTTTATATTACGTCAACAGTAGTGTCTATATTACGTCAACAGTTGTGTCTATATTACGTCAATAGTGGTGTCTATATTACGTCAACAGTGATGTCTATATTACGTCAACAGTGGTGTCTATATTACGTCAACAGTGGTGTCTATATTACGTCAACAGTGATGTCTATATTACGTCAACAGTGATGTCTATATTACGTCAACAGTGGTGTCTATATTACGTCAACAGTGATGTCTATATTACGTCAACAGTGATGTCTATATTACGTCAAAGTGGTGTCTTTATTACGTCAACAGTGGTGTCTATATTACGTCAACAGTGATGTCTATATTACGTCAACAGTGATGTCTATATTACGTCAACAGTGGTGTCTATATTACGTCAACAGTGATGTCTATATTACGTCAACAGTGATGTCTATATTACGTCAACAGTGGTGTCTATATTACGTCAACAGTGGTGTCTATATTACGTCAACAGTGGTGTCTATATTACGTCAACAGTGGTGTCTATATTACGTCAACAGTGATGTCTATATTACGTCAACAGTGGTGTCTATATTACATCAACAGTGGTGTCTATATTACGTCAACAATCACGTTTGTTTTACCTGAACAATGCAGCCCATACGACGACAATAGTGATGATTGTATTATGCTAACCCTAAATCACGACTCTGTGTTACAGCTGGCGTGATACAGTGTCAGAGGTTGATGATACGAGAGACGGTCAGTCAGTACACTGGTGTGGTGACAGCCTCCGACCCCTTCAACACCGTCACCTGCACCATCACCTTCACCATGACAAGTGAGTCGTACTTAAAATATAGGACTATTCCCCGTTCAGGGGGACATTGTAGTTACTCCAGCCCCACTACATTGGTCAACCGATTTTGATCATTGTGGTTAGGCCAGACCCTTTATTTTGGTTAACCGATTCTGACCTAAACATTTCAGGTGTGTAAATCTACATTAAATTAAATAAAATATCAAGTTTCATATATGTTGCTTACTTCTTCTTTGAGTGGCATTTTAGAAGTTGGGAAGAACAAAATAGAACAAACTTTATGGATAACAACTTTTTATTCGTTCAAATACTGCCTAGCCAATTATGTTAATTATGTTGTTTTCTTTGTTACATTGTTACATCCAGTATATATATATACTTCCCCCTTCTTCATGTTCCATTAATGCTTGACAACGGTACAATAATCTGTATCGAAACGTCGCACTCACGAATAAAAAGAAGTTGTTATCCATAAAGTTTGTTCTATATTGTATGTCTATCACACCTTTTAAAGAATTGTTCTATCTTACCTGTGACGTAAGTTTCTCTACATTTTGTTCAACATAATATTTCTTCTAATCAACATTACACGCGCTGACTCCATACCGTGTTGAATAGAATAGTTCTACCGTATGTTCCGGGAAATGCCTTTATCCAAAATTTACCAGAATGGTTCTACTTAACTCGTTGGGTACTGAATTTACCCATTGTTTTAGGGTTATATTTATCCTACATTTCACATTTGCATCCTACATCTATCACAAATCACTATCCCACGTTGTAGAGACGGACGGTGTTTTAACTTTCCAGACACGAACCAGGCCCCCGTGTTTCAAGACCTACCGCGAGCTGTGGAGGTAGCCGAGGATCTGGTTGCGGGTGGCGTTATAGCTCAAGTCACCATTGAGGACACCCAGCAGTGCACCACGTTAAGCCTTACCTGGGAAGTGGTACCTGACATGGACCGCCTCAAATTCAACGCTGTCTTAGCTAACAAAGGTATGTGAATCTCTGACGGATGCTGGGGTCTGCTGATGCACGCATCACTTCTACCTGAGAGAAAGAAATGTATAGCGTCTGTGAGATATATCGCCGCCGGCAGTACGTAAGGGGACGGGTGAGGGGTGGGTGGGTGAGGTGGTGTATTGGAGAAGAACGTATGGTGGTGGTTTGGAATCATGAAAAATTGACACCGCGAAGAGGGCGACGCATTTCAGCACAGCTGTGTACTTTTTGGGTCGGGTGGAAGGAGGGGGTTGGGTCATGAAAACATTGCCGTTTTGTTTTTGTGAATTTCAAAATTGTAGAGAGGTCAGCTTAAGATGATACAGATCTCTGAGACAAACATTCCACCACTGTGATTAATGACTGATGACAACTCCCTTTCTCACGCTGCAATGGGTTCCTGGTGTCCCGGAAGTGTGTCCCGGTATGGCCCAGCACAGCACTGGGACAGTCCACACCGTGCAAGAGCATTTACCTGTGACTTTGTCCGGTTTGTTTCACATTAACACCCATGTTGCCTGTTCTGCGTTTGTTAAAGTGTGGGAGTTGAGATCGCCTCAGCGCTGAGATCACTTTGTGAATATGGCCCAGGACACGAGAGATCACTTTGTGAACATGGCCCAGGAGACTATGTCAGTGTTTTTAGATGATCTACAATATATGTTCATGCACATTAATGGTTAGATAATGAGTAAAGATGATCACAACTATACGACTGTATAAAGTCACCGTCTCACAATCTCTCTCCCACATACAGTCGTGACCTTGACAGTGGCTAACGGTCAGAAGCTAGACAGGGAGATGATAGACAAGTACACCTTCTCCTTCCGGGCTAAGGACGGATGTCTCGACTCCCAGCTTTACCCCCTTTTTGTCGAAGTGACGGACGTCAACGAGAAGCCCGAGTTCCTCAATGGTCAGAACTACATTGCCTACTTCGACGAGGTAAATCATGGTGCTTGAAATACTAGACTTAGTGTTAATGACTATAGTAGACTAACACTTGCTCTTAGCATATGCTTCCATTAAACAGAGCAGGAGCCCCATTGAAGTAGGAGATTCTAGTGAGGAAAGGCAAGACTTGCTTCACTTAGGTTTTCACATTGCAGAAAGGGCTGTCCAGCTGAGACTCAATGTCGAGGAGTAGCAAGCTGCACTCTGACACATAAGTTTGATATATATGTTGAGCATACACCTGGGAATCAAGACATTTGGGGAACCAGTCCAAACTCAGAGATGCCTAACACCCAGGACCCCTTTAAGTGGTAGCAGTACCGATGGCGGTATGGTGGCAGGCACGTTTGTCAAACTGGAGATCTGGTTTCGAATCCCAACATGGTTACACTGTGAGATGTCAGTGCTTACTGTCCCCACAAAGCGGCTTTACCCTACTACTATCACAGTATCTCGGAGAAATTCAGTACTTAGCGCTTGTGATGATAACGACGACCGATGTAAACGATGGCGATTAGATGATGATGATGATGACGTTATCATGATGATATGATGATGATGATGTTAGTGGTGGTGATGTAATCTTAATGTTGCTGCTGCTGATGTAATGATCATGGTAATGGTGATGACGATTGTGACGCTAGTTTTGATGATGATGATGATGGTGATGATGATGATGATGATGATGATGGCACCACCATCATGTCCTCTCCAGACAATCATGACGCCACAATAAAATCAAAATTATATCCAACCCTCAGGTAAACTCCCCAGGTGTGTTTCTAAACTGTGGCGGGATTGACCCCGACATCGGCGACGTTCACACCCTCGTGCTGGAGGGAGCCGACGCCAACAAGTTCACCATCGTGGACACAGCCCAGTGCGTCCTGGGACAGGCGGTGGAGCTGGACCGTGACAACAACGGTCCGGCACAGATCACCCTGACTATGAAACTCATAGACACGACGGGGCTGTCTGCCGAGGCCACGGTCACCGTGTTTGTCAGGGAGGTAGGTTACTTCATTATCTAGTTGGTTGGTTGGTTGTTTAACACCGCACTTAGCAATATCGTTAAATAGCACAGGCCCTCGTGTCTTTGCGAGGATTAAAGATTTTATAAATTATATACAAAATTTTGAGATGACCCCCGACTCGAAATGCTTCTCAGTACAATACATCTTGACAAGGTCGGACACTTCGGTGCACCCCACCCGACTGCTTTGCCGATCGCTACGCTACCATCGCATGCAATCGATTAAAACTTAATCATGGATGATTGGCCTATCGAACACCACTCATGACACCTACCAATTCTTTATTGTTATTTCTGCAAGTCGATTGAAACCCGATTTTGACCGTCAACAAAACGATCTTGACACAAATGGCTGACGATATATCCGCACAAAACGGGGGTGTGGTCGAATAAAGTCCTCTGGTTGGTTGATGTTTGTTAAAGAGACATTTACAAATGATGCTTTCTTTGAGAAGCCATTTTGCTGGAAAAACATCTTACATTTCTTTCAAGTCAAGCAGTCGATGGAAGTAAAAATTCCAGAGAATTTATAAAGAATGTGCAGATTTAGCAGCGTTGACCAACCAGACGGCTTGCTTCGACCACACTCCGTTTTTTATGTGGATATATCGTTATTTATTTCTCAGACCCGTGAAGATCCGGGGTAGAATAGGTCTTCAGCAACCTACGCTTGCCGCTGACTTGGTTGACACATGTCATCGGTTCCCAACTGCGAAGATCGATGCTCATGCTGTTAAACACTGGATTGTCTGGTCCAGACCCGATTATTTACAGACCGCCGCCATATAGCTGGAATATTGCTGAGTGCGGCGTAAAACTAAACTCACTCACTATTTATTATCAAGTGATTGAAATCTTAACATATGACAAATAGGTTAATAAGCAGAGAACATATTTGTTTAAATTTATAAAATCTACATATTTTTTCTCCCTACCGTTTTCTTGCTGCTCCCCCACAGAGGGCTGAAGTATTTTAAAATAATTGTACTCCGGGTAGGGTACGTAAAACCACATCATTTAATGTATGTTCATCATTGCCATAGTTTTAATCGTAGATTTTTTGATATTTTAACGAATGGCTATTTTGCTCAAAAACACCTGGAGGTATGATGTAAACCCAGCTAAGGTTCATGCAAAAGAACTGTAAGTCCCATGGCCTCTAGTGTGGTATCTACCATCATTTGCTGGTGATCCGCAGCCCAGTGTTATATTGTATTGTGCTCTTTAATGACATCTTTGTTTGATAACATGCTTTTTAACTTAACACCTGTTATACACTAGAGGTTTTACTATCAATCGACGACAGATTTGTAACTTCTAAATTTATTCATCTTTAATGCATAAATTGTTCTCGTCACGATATGGCTGAAATATTGCCTATGTGACGTTAAATATTATTTCACCCACTCACTGTTGTTTGTTAAGGATATAGATGAGACATACAGTAACATACGGATGGCCTTACCAGCAATCTGTTTTTCTGACGTTTCATGTCATTTCTGACTTCAATACAGTAGATTTGTTTCCTCTTCAGGTTAACGATAACGACCCAATATGCACCTTACCCGCATTCAACTTTGGCATCATCAACAACGGCGACACCATCGGGCGGTCGTTAGGCACAGTTGTAGCAACCGACGAAGATCAGTCAGTCAACGGACAGGTGACGTACGGTTTCGCCAGCGGTACTTCCGGAAGCGGTGTCTTTGGCATTGCCGGTGACGGTAACGTCAGGTTGATAGGGGACCCAGATGGAAAGCTGGCGCCTGGAGCCCTGGTAGATCTGACCGTCCAGGCAACAGATGGAGGAACTCCGCCACGGTCGACAACGTGTACAGCGAACGTCCAGTACGTATATACGACGACGCCTCCTCCACCTCCTACCATGCCGCCAGTGACAGGTGCAACTGGAGGCGCCGGCGGAACTGGTGGAGCTGGTGGGACCGGCTCGGCTACAACGTTGTCCCCGGTAGATGCTGCGTTGCAGAACCCCGTCATCCTTGGCTTGATTGCTGCTTTGGCAGCCTTGCTGTTGCTGGGTCTCCTCGCAGGGCTTGTTCTGTGCTGCAAGAGTCGGGCCTGCAAGGGATCGGGAGGACAAGGCTCTAAGAATTACGAGTACGAATTATGAAATTGTATTTTGTTATGTATCTTCAATTTTTTTGGTATTTGTTTTGGAAATCTTTGAACCAAGTTTCGATCATGATTATTTATCTGTACCTAAACCGTGAATCTTATAGTTCCCCTATGAAGTAAATGCTCTGCAACATTTCCTTCTTACATAATCCTGGTAAGTCGATAGGAACGCGGTTCAGCCCCCTTCAAACCGTAACACTTTTATATGTAATATTTATGGATTATTTTGCACCTGCCCGCTCCCTTTGCTGGTTTAGTTTGGACACGAGAAACACATAAATAATACGAATGGCCATGTGGTAATGCTATTGTTATCAATACCATACTAACAGGCACCAAAGGGGCGGTGGGGTAGCCTAGTGGTCATTTCAAAGACCCGGGTTCGATTCCCCACATGGGCACAATGTGTAAAACCTATTTCTGGTATCCCCCGCCGTGATATTGCTGGAATATTGCTAAAAGCGGCTCACTCACTCACAGGCGCACCCGACCTAACCATGTCAAGAACTGTTGTCGTCCGTTATCGATAGTTTGTTATATGTTCTCCACTCTACAGTTTCAAGCGTGACAACGTTCCTAGCAGAGGTCGGGGGTCGCCAAAGTCCAACCAGGTCAGCACGCGCGTCACCACCGTCAGCGAGGTGACCCCGGCCAGTAAGTATATATGAATGCATCACACAATAACTCCCACTTGTAAATTTTTTAACATGCACACAATGAGGTGAGGTGAAATTGGGTTTTACCTCGTGCTTGAGAATATTTCGCTCATATGACGACGTTCATGCGTGTGTAGGTGTATGTGCGGCTGCTTGTACTAGCCCAGACTTAAACTGGTTTTATAGTGCTAGCCCTCTGAGATACCATGCCGCAGTGAAGCAGGAATACCCCACTCAGACACATTATACTGACTCCGAGCCGACCAGTCCTTGTTGTACCCATTAATGCCGAGGCGCCAGGCAGGGACAAACAAGAACCATATTTTAACGTCTTTTGGTATGACGCGGTCTGGGATCGAACCCGCGACCTTCCGCTCTCCGGGCGGACGCTCTAACCACTACACCACTGGGGCGGTTTGTGTCCGTATGTACCTGGAGTTGCGGCCCTTAGCTGTTACACGATATACGTTCGAATCCACATTTAACATTGATTATGGTAATTGACAAGCTGTGATAAATATACTATCCCAAAAAGAAATGCATAGGCGTTTTGTATTTTTTAAAAGCTATTAATCACCTATTGTGTTCAAACAATCGTCAAACTATGTAACAAAAGTGTTGATGACATGATTTTACACTATTGCACACGTACAAAATCGACTCTACCTGAAAATATTGAGTTTGATGAGATTTCTTGCAAGGATTAAAACGCATCGCCATAACGCAACAGAAATCACCTTCCAGTTGAAATTGTGCAGCAAAGAGCATGCACTGTCTGGCTATAAAAACCATCCAGATCCAACTGTACGGAACAGGTTGAGAGAGACTGGACTGAGAGAGCCAGGAGTCCCGACGTCGGGACCGTGCTACGTCCTCACCATCGCGCTCAACGTCCCCGTTATCTACAATTATCCACTTAGTTATATAGATATTTCCTTCTTCTTAACTGATGTGAAAATACATGCACTAAAGTCTATTTGTGGACGAGTTCTACATGTTTGAAAATACAATATTCTCGCAACAGATTAATGGCCTATGCGTTTCTTTTTTGGGAAAGTATATTTGTATTTCTTCACTCTTGAACATACACCATTGTGTTTTTTGTATCTGATTAGTTTTTACGTTTAATCTACAACTTTGATTGCAGTGCACGATGGGCCAACAACATTCAAATACCTGTAACAGTCAACGCTCCGCGGGGGAAAAGGTTAAGTACCGCTTGTTGTTTCTTCTTTTGTATTCTGCATTTCCATGTATAAGTTGGAAATATCTACATACTAGATGTATCTCATGTTGATACATGTCTAACATACCACAAACACCAGCGACAAATATGGTGAGGACTCTCGAGTCGATCCTACGTGAGTGAGTGAGCGAGTTTAGTTTTACGCCGAACTCAGTAATTACCAGCTTTATGACGGCGGTCTGTAAATAATCGCGTCTGGACCAGACAATCCAGTGATCAACAGCATGAGCATGATTCTAAGCAATTGGGATACGATGACATGTGTCAACCAAGTCAGCGAGTCTGACCACCCGATCCCGTTAGTCGTTTCTTACGACAAGCATGAGCTACTGAAGATCAATTCTAACCCGGATCTTCACAGGTCTCATCCCAAGTGCTCCGTCCTGCAAACAAGCACAGGCAGTAGTGGAAGTAGTGTTTAAAATTCTGAATATCCGTCAACTTAGTCTATAGATAATCTATTTCGGTTTCATTCTCAGGATGAGAATCTGCAAACAAAACAGATGTTTTTGTCTATGGAATTTACACAGCATTCTTTTATCAAAGATAAACGACATAATCGCAGCTATGCTCTACTTCTTTCCAGGCGTATAGGTGACATATAGAGGTTCCGCAGATCTCCAGGGTCAAGTGTCTGGCACCATATGTCCATTCCCTCCACTAGTATGTAAAACATGTGTGATTCATAGTGCCTGTGACGTCACGTCCCTGTTGCCACCTTCCAGACTTCTATATATGGACATTTGTACTTACCGATTATGGACTTACCGATGCTACATTTAGCTTTCCTTGTTAGCATCTGTACTCTGTTATATACTGAACGATGCATTTACTACATAGTTTTGATATGTTGCAAAATAACTGTCATATTTTGATTTTGTCAAATATGTACATATTTATTGGCATTGTACATGCCCGTATAGCAGTATTTGGTGACGCTTTGATATGATGTTTATCACACAAATTATGCGATTATCTCCCTTGTATCATAACCGCCAATGACGACGGTCCAATTGACTGAAGTTTGTCCTTTGTATATATGCTCGTGGATGTGATTTCAATAGTAAAAACCAAGACCACAACCCATTTGTACTTTGATTTCTTTCGGCAGAGCCTCTCAGGGATCTTTTGCACTGTATAGAATTCATGCAATTAATGCCGTATGTTCTACCACTATAGCCACACAATAGACACCGTGGTGTGAAGCAATATTCACTCTGAGTGAGTGAGTACGGGTTTACGCCGCTTTTAGCAATGTTCCAGCAATATCACGGCGGGGGACACCAGAAATGGGCTTCACACATTGTACCCATGTGGGGAATCGAACCCGGGCCTTCAGCGTGACGAGCGAACGCTTTAACCACTAGGCTACCCCACTGCCCCTATTCACTCTGAGGCCAAGGTTGGTATCGTCTTTCTGCATATGAAACCACCTCAGGCCAAGTAGATGAAGCGCCTGACAAGAGCGGAAGGCTGGTTGTTCGATTCCCAAACGATGATAAATGACGGTACTTGTTGTTACCCTGCCTGATGCACGGCATTGAAGGGACATAACCATGAGTAAGCGGCGTCTGAGTAGGCTGGTCCAGACTCCATTATTTACAGACCGCCGCCATTTAGCTGGAATATTGTTGAGTGCGGCGTTAAACAACCAACCAACCAACTATATAAGTGCAATAGTGTTGATTGTGACGTTGAACCACATTTCACCTCACCCAGCTCACCATCCCTCTGTATATGGACATAATCCATAAAAGAATAAACAAAACACTAACAAAATGATGTAGGAAGTGACACTTCTTAAGCATCTACTATATACATTAGGTAGTACCATTCCATATACATGTAAATACACACGTTCATATACTGCATTTGGTGTTACTATATATGCTACAATCAATGTACAAAATCAATGATTCACAAAAAACAAAATGCCTACATTTTTCAGTCACATTACAAACTGACTGAAATATCTGTTCATTTTACAGACAGACTGACAAGGAATATTAAGGTGGGATTAAAAGTCAGAAAATATGTGTTGGCTTTCGTTTTCCCTTAATCCAATTATCATTTTACAATTACTGGGTACTGAAATTCAACATCAAACTGTTTGTAAAACAGTACACTGAATAAATGGAGATAGTGTTTCAATCAGCTTGTAAACTGAATAATATATTTAGGCGTTTTGTATATTTCCTAAGTGAATAATTCAGGCATTTTACACATCGACTGTAACAGTCATGCAAACAATATGCCTTCAGGATCTGCAATAGATATACAAATATAATCATACAAAAACATGTAGTATATATTCCATGATATCTAATGAACAGGGTTCGAATCCCCACATGGGTACAATGTGTGAAGCCCATTTCTGGTGTCCCCCGCCGCGATGTTGCTGGAATATTGCTAAAAGCGGCGTAAAACCAAAACTCAGTCAGTCAGTCTAATGAACATATACATATTATACAATGTACAGTACATTTAATCTAAAAAGTACATATACCCAGATAAATACCTAATTGCTAGACCGCGTGTAATGCCAGGTTAACTAATACCACAGGAGATATGTTCGTACAGTGCTGCCTAAGTTATATGAAGAGGAGGACGTCTTTAAACGAGTTCTACTCATACAAACGCTGCATGCTGTCGCCATGTTGTTATGGAGTTTCCACTTCACAGGGAGATAGTCTGAGTCCATGGTGACGATACTACATAGCCCTTAACGACTATATCACTTAATACTTTGTGTCATGAATGATTCCTTCATGATATACTCGGCTGTGTCACTGTTTGTCTTTGAAGTCCAACTGAGTGTGTTTCGGCAGATAATCGAATTTGGTTGTTCAGGCCTTGACGTTTTGAATTTGTAACGTGCCAGCGTCATTAAAGTGAACACCAGCTAGGGTATCTCCATCTCGATGCGACATTTGTCAGCGTATATGAAATTACTGCACTAAATTACTATAAATTACTATGAGTTATAGCACTATAACTAGAATATAGACCCAGTATTTTTTGTACCTATACGAGGCTGTCTGCGCCTTATTATATGACAGATGTATAGCCACACCCTGTACAGTCTTCTTGTACGGTACGTTCCATGTTTGCACATTGTGTTCGGACCAAATAGACAACTGGTAGCTTATTTCTGCAAGCATCAAAGTGACTGGGTATGCACTGTTGATGAAAATGGACATAAATGGCTACATGATCGAAGTATCCCCAACTGAATGGGATAACTCAACAGTTGCCGTCAATACACGGTGTTATCTTCAGGAGATAATGCTCATTCCTTTACCACTGAGGGCAGATGGTTTCAAGAGGTTGCTTTGGAGATGGTCCAGGATCAGGAAGATCTTCACTTGCCACCAATCAGGAAATGTATGTCATGATTACTGGTGACTAGCCACACGCCGCTTGCCAATAGAGGAGTTGAGAACATTCTGAAGAATGAATTGGGAATATCAAAGGTTCTAGCACGCTTGGTTTCAATACTCCTGACTCGGGATGTGTTCATCAGCTCTCGTCAGAATGTCGTCTTGAAGCAGGCCCAGCTGGTATTGTTCAAGAAGAAAGCATAGTCTGTTTCATCAGATGGCAAGATGATGGTTTTGAGCTTATTGGATTCCAAAGGAATGATAGTGGAGGACTCCTGGATGTTGAGACCTTAATGGCTTAAGTCTGCTAATCTGCTGAATCAACTTTATGAGAATACCAAGGCTGATTGAAAAATCACAGGGTTTGAGTTGTTCGACCAGGACAATGCACCTGTACACAAGTCTGTTTTCGCCATGGCTGTACTGCCTCGCTGGGGCATTAAACTCGTTGTGTGGACCTCGGAGGGGGATTAGTTTGAACTCAATTAACAAGAAGCTCCATGAACGAAATGACTCATAGTGGAACTCAGAACTGTTAAGCCATCCATCGTATACGCTGGCAGGAAATATTAGCGATATTGAAGCTTATTATGACAATAAGATAGTTCCATCGATTATGAAGGTGTTTGGGGGCGTTGGGGTAGCCTAGTGGTTAAAGCGTCCGCTCGTCACGCCGAAGACCCGGGTTCGATTCCCCACATGGGTACAATGTGTGAAGCCCATTTCTGGTGTCCCCCTCCGCGATATTGCTGGAATATTGCTAAAAGCGGCGTAAACCCGTACTCACTCGCTCACTCACTATGAAGGTGTTTATAATTCTCCAGAACTGACTTAGGTGAGGCACGTCTGCACATAGAAAACATAAAAAAGAAGGGCGGAATATGTTTTTGGTTCGGTATACTTGAACATGGCACATGAACAGATTCCCAAGGTAAATCAACTAAGGCACAGGGGAGACTTAGATATGAATGGACTGTGCATATCATCATGAAATGTATTATATATATTGTCGGTAACATCGTCATGAATTACGCAAGTTGCAGTGGCACTGAAGATACGTGGTGGCTTGCGCATACATTGTATCTTCCTGCCTGAACTCTAAACTTATAACTTTGCGCAATATTACTAAGGTAGGTGCACATATATACAAATATGATACAAATGAAAGACTCATGTTTGCGTTTGACAGTGGCCGATGACTCTCTGGTAGTTTTTTTCTGCTTTCCTTTCATGTTATGTCATGGCCCTTTCATATGGTCCGGTTTAGAAGCAATGTCTCCGTTGTTTCGCCTGCTGTCTTCAGAGACATATTGTACGTTTCTGAAGGAAAGAAGAAACCCATCATCATTAAATATTTATGGAGTTCATTATGACAGTCGAGAAGTCTGATTTATAATGATGAACGGTGGGATTTATTGGACCTGGGAAAACACCGCTCATCAGCACTCGTCGCGATGCACTTAGACTAACAACTTGTCTCTGAAATGAACATATTTTACTGAAAAAAGTTCATAGTAAAAAATATATATATAATAAAAAGGAGCCCTGAGACTTCTTCGTTTTCAGAGGAAATCTAGACTTGCCACATTTTCTAGACTTGCGTGGGTTTTCTTGGATATATTTACTTCAGGGTCTGTACGACAGACTACGATGCACTGTGTGACCGCTATTGTTAGGTGAGTTAATAAGTGGCTGTAAACTACTTTTAAAAAGTAACAACTTCTCGACTAGACCCGACCACAACTAACTCTGGTGGTCGTACATGTTGGTTACGAATGGCAGTAATACATGCTTGCTAAACTGTCCCTTAAAGGAGTGAGAATACAGAAACGACAAAACATTTTCATTGTTAAAAGAAATCTCTTCTAACACTAGAGTTTATTGATTGCACAGTTCCAACTATTTGACGAATACCAATTTATAAATCTCTATCAAATAATAATGGTAGTAGGTGTTTCATGGACAGAAGGATTACAATATCGAAATAAATGTGGAAAATCGACTTTTTATGATCTCTGTGTTACCACCGACACTGGTAATTACACGCAACAAAGAAAAGCACAATTTCTGTCAGTACCTGACCCTATGGCACGTTATCGATGAAAGGGTTTCAATTTCACTGAAAGCGCGGCATGCATCACTGTAAACCCTACAAACATTTATATATTTCCTATGATGTGTGAAAAGATGCTAAAATCTAGCCCTAAACATGAATCCGTAACACCACAAACTGTCCACTGTATTGTTTTTGTACTGTTGAAAAATGTCGCGACTAACTAGAGTTTCGTTTGTGCAGTTATGTACACACTGATTAGCACTCGGAGATAAGCCAATCATTACGTTCACCAGTGTGTTAGCGTGTGATTTTAGTGCCCTTACCAGAGTGCCCTTACCTTTTCAAAACATACTTGAAATAAAAATGAATGAATGAATGAATGAATGAATGAATGTATGATGTCTTTATTTGTCCATCAAAAGGTAACGAGTGGGAACCAAACCGACCAGGTATAATTGCCTCATTAGTGAAAAATACCTAGAAATTCTAATTGTCAGGATTCTGTAGAATTATCATGTCCTGATTTCAATTTAAATGCCAACGCAAGAGAACGCCTGAAAATAACGGTAATTCACCTTGATTAACTGCCGAAGCAGATTCCATTAGGCTTAATAGGTAAACCAGAGGTCAATATTAGATAAATGGA